GGACTGTTCTCCCTGTTGTCCTTTGGGAAGAGGCTTTAAAGCATCCAATGCAGGTTCAGCAGATTCTAAACAGCTTTTCCCCTGCTGCCATAAGAATGTTGAACTGTTGGAAGCTCTAATAGGTTTCAAATCGAGCCTCTGCATCACAAAAAAAGAAAAAAAGAAAAAAAAAAAAAAAGACGGAACATTTTTCTCTCACTGTCTGACATAAATGCTAAATTTTTAGATATATTTATATAGTTTTTTTTTTTTTGTTATAATTGCTGCCCTAAGTCTGTTGCTCTGTCAGCTAAAGGCATGTTTTACAGTCTCTATACTTATATTCATTAATGATTAATCGATTCCTAAATTAATTGACGATTATTTCAATAATCGATTAATTACGATTAATCCGATTAATTGTCTCTGCCCTAAATGTGTCCAAAATATCCCAAAATCCTGAGTGTATTTACAAGCTGCAATCAACTTTTTATGCTGCCATTTACTCACTAGCCCATGTAGGAACTGTTAGCCAACATATTTAACTCTGACTATGGTGTCAAAGCTTTGCTTTCATCAATCCATGGCCATTCTTCAATAATATGTCATCATTATTGACCTACCTCTACCATCTAAACATGTCACCTAAATACTTTTATAAATAACTACTAAATACAGTAATTAAAAACATCTTGGCTGATTTAGTTAAATATTTCCATTATCTTTTTTTTAGGTGTTTCCTTAAATAGCAAACTCAAGGACAGTGGATTAATCTATCAGAAAGGTAGAAAGCCTTATCTGCACCTTTCCAAGTTGGGAAACTCATTAGATAATTTGCACAGCCTATGAAATATTTTAGTAAGTGCACGTTGGAATGGGAAATTATATTTTAAAATCAGTGACTTATGCTAAAGATGCTGCTAACAAAGAAATGTCCTTGACGGTACATCAACAACAGATTTATTAATATTTAAGCTGCAATTAATTTTCAATTCAGCTCAGTTTCAGATTGGTTAAAAATTTATATCTAAGAAAAAACAGCCGATTGTATTTAGTTAACGACTTTGCAGAATTTGCTTCTCCTGGATGAGTATGGATTTGCTTGCATTTTTAGTTGACTCTGCAGCAATCCCTCACTCCAAGCATGCATACAGCGACAGTAGAGAGGAAAAGTCCCTTTTCAACAGGTAGAAACCTTCAGAAGACCCAGGCTCAGTGTGCACGGCCTTCTGCCAAGGCCAACTTGGGGTTCAGGAGACCCTCTATGTTAAAAAAGTTAATGGTAAACTTGCTCCATCGGTGGCTCTGTCAAGGAAAGAAACAGTTAGGCAGTTGAGGTCTGAACCAGTTTACTCAGGATGAAAAATGTGGAAATCTACCTTGATCAGGTCAACAAGCCAATGCCAGGGGTCAAATGAGAGATCCCTACAATAGAATTATGCAATAAAAACCTGTGCGTAGAAACATTTATTTCATTTCATCCAATATCAATACATCTCAGGGTATTTTTCTCACATTTTTTCTCAATAGACAGAGGAAATCACTTTGTGGCTGAATGTATCTTGTGTGTTTTGCACTACAAAAATTGTCCTTGCCTTCTTCGGTGGGTTTGGTTCCTTGAAAGAAAAAAAGTGGCCATTGATAGTGGTAAGTAAAAAAAAAAACATTTAAAGCAAGAATAGAAATAAATATAAATCGTTAAAATCTCAACATTTTGTCTCAGTTTGCAGTTGGAATGAGCGCAGGCTTCCTGTCATTTGTTGCTTTAGAAGTTCTTGTTCAGGTTATAAAAACCCAGGTATTTGCAAATTATAATTATATTCATTCGATTTTGTGTTCATGCACTTCGTGAATTTTAAAGTCTGAAATCCTAAAATGATACATTAGAAAAAATGCAACTCTCCAGCTGTCATTGTTTTTTACATGCTGTATAGGTGGAAGATCATATAAGAAGTCACTTCCTGGGCCTGCTGCATCTAACTAATGCCTCTCAAGACGATTTAAAAATGCTAAACATCGCACAGATGCAAGTAAGTCACTTTTCAAGGATTTCTTACTATCTACACAACTTTTTATGCTCAAGCTTATGGTAATATAGCATAAGGAAAAGACAAACATAATTTGTAAAAAGCATTGGTCATTACTCTCTCCGTTCTCAGGCTGTTGTCTTGTTTTCTGTCCCATGTGTCAGTACTGAGCTGTGTAAAAAGGCCTTTGCTTACTCTGCTCCCTTTACATGGAATTTGCTGCAAAATAACTTGAAACTTAGTAAATTGGTTCCTTTGAATACTTTTAAGCTGAGAATTAGATGTTTTGAGCTGGACTCCCTCACATGTCAATGTTTTAATTGAAATTTTATTGTAAGCCAAATATGCACTTACAATAAAATTTCAATTAAAACAATTAGATGTTTTGAGCTGGACTCCCTCACATGTCAATGTTTTAATTGAAATTTTATTGTAAGTGCATATTTGGCTTTTATGTGTGTGTCTTTGTACCTATGTAATGATGTGATGTAATTTTCATGCCTATCTTGGCCAGGTCTCCCTTGCAAAAGAGATTTTTAATCTCAATGGGTATTACCTGGTTAAATAAAGGATAAATAATAATAATAATAATAAAAAATTAATATAACATACAGAGTTAAACAAAATCATTTCGGTTAATTTGCCTCCAGATAGATTGTTTATAGATAATGATGCCTTAGGTACCTAAAGAGCACTTGCTCATACAGTGGTTTAAAACATTCATCTCCTTTCATTTTCTTGCAATGTTTTTTTGTAGATTAACAAATGTGTGACCTAGTTCTAAACTTAAGGAAATAAAGCAGATTTTGTGCAACATCAAGTTCTGTCACATGTATAGCTGCTGCATGTTTAAGTCTGATGATACTTACTTTAAATTCTTTATTTTCATTACCATAAGAAGTAGCCATGGGATTTCTATTCAAATCTATCCTTTTGGAATCTCAGCAGCCAGTATTATAACCTTACACCACTAAAAATGCCTTATCACAGTTCCAAAACTGGTAAGGTATTTTTTCAATGTTTTATGAATATGTTTATTTTTGTTCTCTCTCAGTTTCAGTGTTGTGGAGTCGAACAGGGTTACCTGGATTGGAAGAACAACATTTCACAAACTTGTCTGTGTGATAATATGTCAATAAATCCATGTGTAAGTAAAAAAAAAAATCCCACCAATATACATATTATTTTGGTATTCTCAAATATTATAGTCTTTTAATAAAAATGAAGCTCCTGTAACACATTATTATCTTTGGTTTTGATGCAGTTGTAATGGGGAATCGTGCGTAAGCTTTATGAGTGTCCTATCCAATATTAATATAGGATATCGATTCAATATTAGCAAAAAATCAAATATCAGATTTTATCAAGCTATATCTAACATTGCAAATATTATCATGCTGATAGATTCTTTGGCTCATTGGTTAATATTGCATGTGTTAGTTGTTCTCTCTCCCTGTTGCCTATTGTTGTTTCTTCTAGTAATATCACTTGATCAAGCCTTTTTTTATTTAGAGCCTTAAAAACTTCATATTTAAAATTTAGACACAGTTCTCTTGAAAACATATATTTTGTGACAGACTTTTTTGTATGCAAAACATAGACAGTATTTTTAATTATAAAAAACATCCATGCTGTAATCTTAGGATTAATGAAAGGAATAATGCAAAACCAAGGGATGAAGAGACAACATAGTTTTTTAGCCTTGACTGGACACTGTGTTGTGCATAGATGCCAAAGTTCACTATCAGAACATTTGGCTTTTTTTTCCTGAGTTATTTGCTGTCCCACTTCTTTTCCACTTGTTTTTTAGAAACATTCATCATCACACAATTCAACCAATAAAACTGACCTGTAAAATCTAAGCATATCTGAAAACAAAAAGGGGGTTTATCATTGAAGATATATGCATTGTAATATTTTATCAACCTTGCAAATGAAAATTATTCATACAACGTGATGCTTTTATTGTCACATTTGCCAGTGAGAGTAATCTGGGGTAATGTCAATTATTCTCTTTATGTAATAAACCATGTTAATGTTTTCTAGGTGCCAGCTCCAAAAGGCAGCTTCCAGTTTACAGTGGAAGGTCCTGAAGATCAGCCCATCATGGTTTATTCAAAGGTATTGATCAATAGAAATAGAAACATTATTTTTGCATTCTTAAGTATTCTTCTGTTAAAACCAGTAAACACCATTCAAGGTGTCCACTTATTGCACTTTCTTATTATATTATGTATCTTATTTGAGGAGAAGAAAAAAAAAACAATTTCTTAATATCTACAAGATGGATGGATGGATGGAGGATGGATGGATGGATGGATGGATGGATGGATGGATGGATGGATGGATGGATGGATGGATGGATGGATGGATGGATGGATGGATGGATGGATGGATGGATGGATGGATGGATGGATGGATGGATGGATGGATGGAATGGGGAAGAATAGTTGTCTTACAATTGGAGAAATAAGTTTTATTCCAGCTTTCTCCTTAGTGGGCCTTAGTGGGTAGATTGACATTTAAGCCCAAGTCACCTAATAGTATTTAACGTATATTTTAATATTAAAGTAGATCATCTTAAAGATGTAGTGGAGGATTTTTGCGAATTTTTTAAAAGAGCCGCCCTCTTTACTTAAAAAAAAATAATAATGCCCACGCACTACCCTGCTCGCGAGAGGGATCACCTATTAAACATGTGCGAGAGCATGCAAGAGCCCATTTCTCCTTTTTTTTGATATGCAGAGATGTAAAATTGATTCCTCCAAATAGCATGCCAAACTTTACCTGTCAACTAGAAACTTTGCGACTGACGAATCAGTGGGAAGCCCGACCTGTGCTTTCAGTGTACGCCATCATCTAAAAGAATCTCCCCAAGAATCTCTCTTCTGAAGCCTTTCTTTTCTTTTAAACTTCGTAGACACTTTTTCTCTTACGACCCTCTGCCATTTTTGTAGAACAACAGTGAGAAAGTTGAGAATCAATGACTGGCTGAAACCGCACATGTATGCCTGAAAGTAAAAAGATAGCTAACTGGGGACGGCCACGGCCAGCCTTATATAAACATATCACCAGAATGATTGACAATTAGGAGGACCACTTATTTTGATGATCCACCCGGAAAATTAAAATCCTCCACTATACCTTGAAGTAAGGAATGGCTTAAAACATTGATTAAACTTGTTTTTTTTTCTCCCTGTTGTAGCCTTGTATTCCATTGATTGTTGAAGAAAACTATTTTTATCTTAATATCGCTTCTTGTATCAATGCGGGATTCATGATATTATGGGTATGTATTATGTTGACCTACACAGTATGTCTCAATTTATGTTTTGTTTACCATCCCTTTTTCCAATGTTAGAATTAATGTGTGACACTTTTAAATCAGTCAATTTTTGTTATTCCAGCCTATTGCTGTTATAGCTGACAAGCATATAACAAGATAATATAACATATTATAACAGAAAAGCTTTCTTAGGTCAATAATAATAAATAGAGCTTGATCATCTTTTAGTTTCTAAAACAAAACTCTGTATGAAGATGCGCAAGATATGAGAACAGAAGGTAGAAGTAACCTTTTTCTTTCTTTCACTATCTTATAGATGTTGCCAATAGGGTTGTGCATTGCCATTCTGTGTCAAATCAATAAGAAGCTGGAAACTCCTGAGGTGGTCTACAGTAAGGAAGCAAGAGCTGGAAAGTACACTTGTCTAGTAGAGACCCCAGACGATTACATAGCATGATTTCAGTGATTTCATCTCCATTTTCTTCTCGACATGACTGAAGGGGTAATAATGACAAAATATATGAAACTTTGCAATATTAAACCAACAATCAGTTTCAGTTTTTTGTAGAAATTTGAGCAAACAAATGTATTTAATGTCATATCATTTAAGGGTAGGGTGGACTGGACTGTGATTTAATAAAAATTATCGTTTAAGGACCAGATCCATTTTAAGAAATACACAGAATCATATTAACGAACCCCTTGGTCTGTAAGTCTAAGGTTTTCTTAGATCTAATTTCACAGCCTTTATTTCAGCGAAAGAAATGTGATTTTTGTCAAACGCACCAGATCCATTTTAAGAAATACACAGAATCATATTAACGAACCCCATGGTCTGTAAGTCTAAGGTTTTCTTAGATCTAATTTCACAGCCTTTATTATAGCGAAAGAAATGTGATTTTTGTCAAACGCACTAATGCATAACCTTCTGCAAGAGAGGAGGGAGATATTTAAGAGTTAAAATTGTTCTTTTTTTACTTGTTATTTTTTGTAGTTCTACTTATACAAATGTTTTTTAATATTGTTCAATGTTCTAACACATTTTGTTGTAACTTTTTTAAAATATTTTTGAATGGTTGAGAAAAAAAACTTAATTTCACAGCTGTGAGTTGCTTCTGGACTATTAATAAAGATCATTGTGCTGCAGAATACTTGCACTTGGTCCCCACAGAATTCAGTGTTTCATACTGCTTTTTGACTTAGGTGTAAATAAGTTATATGAGTGCCTTGGAAAAGTATTAATATTCTTTGAAGTTCTTCACATTTTCCATATATAACAGCGACAGATATAATTCAATAATTAGTCTGGCATTATTAAGTGGAAAGAAATGGATGCAGGTAGCAATTTTACAAAATGTGGACTGGATTTTAATTAGCCCTCTTATAATGCTAATAGTCCTAAAATTACCTTAAAAAGTAACTTTACATGTGAAAAGAGTTTGGCATGTTTTGCTGTTTCTTAGTAAAAATATAGTTGTTCTGTATAGTCGTCAGAGATTTGTGAAAAGTAGTAAAAAGCCTCCTGTAGACTATAATGAAGATGGCAAATAGCTCAGGGATACATTTGTCGCACAGTTTAAAGGACATGGAATAAAACTTTTTTTTTTTTTTTTTTTAAACATAATAGCATTGTTAAATCCGTCATCTGAAAATGTGAAAGGACATTGCACCACTTCAAACCTATACATTTCTTTCCCCTTCAGAGGGGCAGGCGAAAAGGTTAATGGAATTTAACTCTAGAGGAGCTGCAGGGATCCACAGCTCAATCATACCTTGATATTCTCTTTTCTTTGTTTTAAATAATTCAGATTCATAAATTCCCTGATACTAAGGGTTCATCCAGTAGAATACAACATAAACAACACCAGAAAGTGTGCGTTAGTCAGAGGAAATAAGGGTCATTGCCTAGATAGAAGAAATTAATACATGCATGTGTCAACATTTCCTTCTGCTGAATAAAAACTGAAGAAATATATCTTACACCAAAGTAAGAATTTTAAAGTTATCACTTATCTTCAGTAATTACAGCAAGCAACAACCAATCATGATGGACTCAGATCCTAACCTTGGGAGCACACAAAGACATGAACAAAGTTGGCCTTCTATCACCTAAAGAACATCTAATGTCTCAGCAGGACCTTTAATAACTTATTTATGTGTTTATATTTAATAGAATTGATTTTACAGGTCTGCCTCAAAAGCCAGTTCTGACTAAATCATTGCTTCTTCCTATCAGCATTGAGCAGCCAGCTTCGTGACCTGACCCTGCTCCACAGACCCCATTAGAAGTTTAATCTCACTGGAAGTCATGGAATTTTGTGCATTATCCAATCCGGTCACTACTTTCTCGCTGGTTGCTTCAATGCATGGAAGCTCCAGCCTTAATTTCTAAGAGACTAACAGGCAGCGGGGAGATTGTGTCCAATAGAGGATTCAACAGCTAATTAATGCACAACATACTCATGAATTTAGTCCTTCTATTTTGATCTGACCAGCAACTATTTAAGTTTCCCTTTGTCTCATTAAGGGAGGTCAGTTTTTTTAGTTACATATTTTGAGTAGTTTTGGTTCCTTTGACCTCTTTTTTGGATCTATTTTTGTACTTGTTACGTTTTATTTTTTTGGGGTTAAAGCTACAGTGTGTAATAATTACAGGGATATACAGTCAGAAATGTAATATATTATACATAACTATGTTATTTATCATCATCTACGAGCTCAGCCTCTTAACCTTAATATTTGCGTTGCCTTAGAATTCGTTATTTATAATTACATAGGAGCGGGTCTCGCAGCCATGGAGACATCTTTGTGCTACGGCAGCGCAGAGCCAACAAACTAGCGATTGCGAGATCACCAAAACGTCACAACAATGTAGAAAAAAATAACGGGTGTATTTATTATCTTAAGTCTACATGAAATCTATACCCTACACAGACTAATGAAATACTATCTGTAAAATTATCTATGTAAACAAACCTCATCACTTGAGAAGGTAGGTGATGCGGACATCGTGGAAGACATTTTGTCCCGTAACGCTCGCCGTACTGTTGGGGGGGAGAAGCGGTGGAGGGGAGATGTTCATGTTGCTGCAGTCTGCAGTCTGACCGCTAGATGTCGCTAAAAGTTACACACTGTAGCTTTAAATAAAAGAGCAGTTTTTACCACCCGTACTGCTCTGCCCATCAAAAAGATTATTTATAAAGAAATTAAATGAAGTTATGACTCACACTGAGTATTATGAAAATCTCATTAAGGGACTGTAATATTTATTCTGTATATTGTGTAACTCTTGTTTTTTGTGTGTCTTATTCATATGATATCTTCATAAGTTTGGTTTATTTGTGTTTATAGCTGAATTCATCCAAATAACCCACATAAATACATGTACTGAATAAAACACATCAAGAAAATGCTGCTCCTTTCTAGCCGTGTCTTCCCTTTTACACTCAAAATGTCTTATATTACCTACACATGGGGTTAGGTATACTGCTGGGATTCATACTGCTGTTGGTAATTGCTTCACTCATTTTCATAACTGCACCATGTACATACTTAAAAACTGGGCACATTTGTGGTAATCATGCAGAAGCTCTACTTTACTGGTTCAGTTGCAAACTGAAAAAGATTGCAGTTCCCCACTCCACAATACAACAACGCCAAACAGTAAAAAAAAAAAAACTCTTTCTCTCACTTTTCTACAGTCAATTTCAATAGGGTTGTGTATTGCTATCCTGTGCTAACTGAACAAGGTTTTCTACAGCCCAGAAACTAAAGAGGTGAACTACAGCAGTCACAATAAGGGTCTGGAAGAGGCCTGACGTTGCTTTTCTTTTTGCCACGCCCTCATATGGGGGAATTCATGACAAAAATATGGACCATTACTTTAAAAAGATTTGTTACACACAACATGTTTTAAAAAGCAAATATCTGGGTATGTTTTCATATATATAAGAAAGGCTTTAAGATTTCTGAAAGCTCTTTGTGTAATTCAGTTGTGTGAGATTTTATATATTTTTGTTTTGCTTTTTGTTGATGAGGCATCTAAATAAATATGTATGTAGTAATAATTCTTCAAAGCATTTAATGTCATTATATGGAGTGACATATTTGGATTTTCTTTCTGTTAATGTTAAGTTTTTTTGGCCAACAGCTAATTAAAATCCATACTCTAATTTTTCCTTTGAAAAATCAGGAAATTACCTACACTTATCTATACACTCATTGATACCCAACCTTTTGCAGCTTACCTTCATTGTGGAAATGGTGAATGATTAAATAGGGACTTCCAAGGCAGCGTTTTAAAACAACAAGTTCATGATTTGTGTACACAAACTTGACCAAAACAGAATATTCTGAGTGTTTTAAAAGGTTACCTTTAGCTGACAGCAATTATCTTCAATAAAATTAATAAACTTTTAAAATATTTCATATTTTTTGAAATATTTCATAATTACTAAAGTTAACTTTTTATATTGTTTCTTGCACACATATTTATTCCTCTGTACATGTACATAAAGAAAAGATAGAAAGTACTGCACTGTACACTTTGCTGACTGTGTGAATTTTAGAACACATAATATAAAAGATGTGACTGCACTTTTCTCTCATTGTCCTAGTCTCTAGTGTTTTTGTGCGTGCAAATAAGTAATGATAACAAAAAACTACCATGCCTCTTGTTTGCTTAATACATTATTCTCCTCCTCTCCCATACCAAAGAATAGTTTAAATCTGAGTCTAAATCTCCTGTTCTGAACAGAAATGCTAAAATTCTGACAAATCACAGTAAAATAGATTTAAGCAGAAAAACAGAAATCATATTTTTATTCCTGCTATTTACAAAACAGTATATCAAGTTCACATCTAGAATCAAAAATGAACAGTAAAATGCAGAAGAAAAAAAACCATAACTGCAAACGTACAGCATATCAGGCATTTATGGTTTAAGTGCACAGGTAGATTAATTGTATTTTACAATATTTAAGAACAGGAGTATTTCTCACGGCAGGCAGCTCATGCAGAAAAATGTATATGCTAGTGAGTTTTCTATGGAACAGTGACCTCAACTGGATTATAGTAGAAAAGCATTGACTTATTTTCACACAAGAGCCAGACTGCCGCAGTTTCCCATTTTTACCCCCAAACTCAAACCAAAGAATGATCTCAGCTGCATGTCTATAAGATGTGCAACAAAAACAAAGCCACCTCCTCAAACATGTGGTTTTGATTGAATATCACTCATTCATTTAATGTGCTTTTCAAAAAACAAACTGCAACGTCATCATTTCAGAAATATACACTGTGCATAACAAGAAGTCAAGACATTCAATGAGAAATGCATCCCATTCTGATGGTCTAACCTGATTATATATGCAAGAAATACTGGATTATATTCAATAGAAGCACTTTGTTAACACAGTTAAAAATGTGCTGCATGAAGCTTTTATCTAGCAATAATCTAATGTAGAAAGTTGTGTGCTTTAAGACAAAATAATTGTTTAATATGTGGTTATACAGAGGGGACGTTAGGGTAGTATAGCGAAAAGAAATCTGTACTGTAGAATTAATCCGATTTCTACCAAGATACCTGCATATAATCCTAGCAAATGAATTTTGCTATGCTAACTTTGTTGATAGCTTTTGAATTAATACTTGACAGAGATGCACCAATCAGGTTTTAACTGGTCAATGCCGATTTCTGCTTATAGTTAGAAGCCTGACCAGCTGATTCTAATAGTTATTTTCCTACAGTTACACGTCGCCCTGATTATTTTAAGAGGTAAATATTTTTTAATTAAGATGGCAGAAGTTTGTAATTGTTCGGTATGTGTTTTTAACAATCAATAAATCCAATTTGTTTTATATACTTGACCTGCCCATGTCTGTAACATACTGTTTGAAAATCTCTATTGGTAATCACTTTATTTTCTTCTAAAAATAATTTTCAACAGAATTATAGTGACTTTGTATTTTGTTGTGTATTAAAAGGAAAGAGGAGAAATTATGTGGAGAAAAGTGCATAATCACTGCATGGGTCCCTTGTATAAAGTATTCATGGGGACAGGTCAGAACTGGATCAGTAATGGAAATATCTAACCTTATTGCAGTTATAGTTTTATACCTAACAACGGATTTTCTCAGAAGTATTGTTTGCCCACTGTGGGGAAATAGAGTGGGTTCCTTTTCACAGGATAAACTACCAAATAAACCGTATCTAAAGGAACTCAAATTGGAGCTTTTTACTTTTGTCTTTGCTGCTCACTGTAGCTCACTCGTCTAAAGCAGATTATAATCCGTCTTTTCCAACTTTAAGCCTGCTCCTCGGCTGTCTTTTTATGCCTCACTTTTATCATTCAATATTTGTTCAACATATTTCTATAGTTCTCAAAAAGTAAGACTATTATTGTGAGCTAAAACATATGCAATATGTAAAAGGAAAAAATTTTAAACAGACTTTGCATGCCCTTTGAATAACAAAGACACATATGACAGTATTGACAGAACTTGGTTTGAATATGGAGGGCGCAGAGTGCCACTATTCAATAAATAAATAACCTATGGAATAATTATTCAAATGTATAATTTTTGTATTAAAACTGGAAATAAATAAAGAATTTATTTAATGATAAATATCTAATCAGATGTCAGTTTTTACACAGGGTGCCTTAGTCCTGCCTCTTTGACTTTGATGGATGTGTGACAGTTTAAATAAATTAATGCAATGCTTCAACACAGGAAAAATGTGATAATTCATTAAATCTTTAAACAATTATATTTCATAAAAGTTATATATTTAAACAAGCGTGTATAATTAATCATATGTTTGTTATTAGTTAAAGTCCGTATTGATATTCAGTTTTAATAAATTAATGTCACATTTAAATAATTCTTTCATGTTATTTATGTATTCTATAGCGGCACTGGTCGCCCTCTATAGATATATACTAAAAATTTTGTGAAAATTATTCAATATTTCTATAAAATCCAGGGTTTAAAAAAGCTGAAATGAATCCCAAAATCAGACTTTTTAAAAAATGATGGGTGTTAGTACAGTAAATATCCCCATTTTGGAGGCCAGACAGGTTTGACTAAAGAAACTAAGAAAAAATAAAGAATTTACTACATTTCAACCATTTTGGACGCATGAGGTAAAAAGAAGGTTATTATCTGCATATGGAACAAATGAAAAAAAAAACATTAAAAGGACTTCCCTACATATCCCATGACAAAACAAAAGAATAAGCACCAGATAAACCGCTTATTTGACAAAATATTCTTTGAAAGCACAATCTTCTATACGGCAAAAGCATGTAAAAGTGTGAATATAATTTCAATACACGTAAAATTGCATTCAATTGCTTTGTTTACAGCAGTAAGGCTTAAAAAAAGCAATGATATAAATCTAACTATGTAGATCACTTGTCAACATCAGTTACATGCAGTAACATGTATAAAATTATAACATATTGCTACAGCACATAATAGCCTTATTATGGTATGCAGCTTCAGGTGCCAATTTAAACCATTTATGCTTGTAGTGCCAAGTGCACATTTAAATCATAGTAGTGTGCAGCGCTAGAAAGCCCCTGGAACGTATCTGTTGGACTGGAGGAGAGCTATAAACTCTTGTTTCCTTTTTATCTGTCCCATCAGTTTGATGCTCATTGCGAGTAAAATAATCTGAGAACAGAAGGAGACCAAAAAAAAAAAAAAATGCATTAGATTTAATCTCTTTGATTATAAATGGAATAAAGCAAAAGCTTACCCAAAACACTCCACTTCCAAACTGTATGGCCATCACTAAGGAGAAGGCCAGCTTCAGCTCGGAGAGATAAATCGGGAGGCAAGGCTGTGGGATGAAACATCACAGCTACATAAAGGCCTAAAGCAGCAGGCGTAAACAAGATATTGATCTGGTTGATGCTAATGTTGTTTCCACTGTGTCCAATTACACCGACTGAAGTTTACTTACTGGCTTTATTTGCTACACCTAATCAAGTGTTTATCATGGTCCTCTCAAAATTGGGAAGATTATTTTGCTTGTATCACTAGCAGGCATTAGTTTGGTTGTTGCATTTTCACTTTAACTTTGTGGTCATGTCAATTTTTTATGTCAGGGGTTAAGATATGAAGGGTTTATTTTCAGGAGACAGTGATTGTGTACTACACTGGAAAAAAACGAAATCTAAATAAGTAATTTTTTCTTAATATAAGTGCATTTGTTCTTGAATTGAGGAGGTAAAGGAGACATTTTGCCAAAGGAACAAGATAATTTACTTCTAAAATAAGAAAACCCAATTACATTGTCTTATTTTCAAGTGCATTTTATCAAAATATCTTACTTTAAGAGTAAAAATACTAATTTCATTGGCAAATCCTCTCATTTACCTACTAAAATTAAGGGTAAATTCACTTAATTTAAGACATTTTTAGATTGTTTTTCCAGTGTATTATTCAAGCTGTACACTGAATACTTTATACTGAATAAAACATGTAATGTGTTAATGTTTTCCCGTTAAAATATAGAATGATATAAAAAAAAAGAAAATACAATTTTTTGTGAGTTTTCGAACAAAACTTGCATTGATATCTGTGTTCACTTTTGATTCCCAATCAGTTATTTTGATTTTTGAGAGTGCATTTAGTTAACTTCCTGTTTTATTCAGATAAACTCTCCTCGCTGTGGATTCAATAAAAAATACTTTAAGTTATGTTTTTTACGGTTTCTAATCTGCATCCCTGCAAAGAAATTGTGTTTAACATTTCCCTGACTTCCTCAAAAAGCTCCACACTGAATTTGAATCTGTGTTATATTTGCAACAATCTTTGCCTTGCAGCTTTATTATGACGTTAGAAAATATGTTGTTTTTTTCTTTCATTTGCCACATTACAAGGGTATAAAATGCTAGCAATCACTATGCTAACACCATTATACTTAATATATGAAATAAAGTTAGCAATCAAATGGACATGGGAATGTGTTTTACCTCTCGATAGACATACTGGTTCTTCGGAGCTCCAAGAGTGGCGATGCCTCTTAGTCGAACCTGGTTAAAAGTGCAAAGATGAAACTTAATTATGAAATGAAACATTTTGCATTTCTAATTTTCCTTTAATTACTTTTTTTTTAATGATTTTCATGAATTGTACATAAGAAACTCTGCAAGTCTAATCTGCAGTCATATTGCTTACATATTTGCGTAGCTACTGAGAGTTGCCATCATGGTTCTCCCCTTTTGGACTTCTTTTTGAGTTTTCAGTTATTTATGTCATTCTCTTCTATTGTCAATTGTTTTTTTTCCCTCCATTCTGTGTTATATTTAAGCAGTGTTGCATTTTTGGGGTTTCTCTCTGCTGCCCCCTTGTGCCAGTCTCCTTTTCCCTAGCTCCCTTCTAGTTACTTCTATCCACACCTGTTCCAAATCAGCTCATTAGCCCATTCTTTATTCAGTCCTGTGAAGTTTCTCATTGCTAGATCCTCTTCATTGGTTAGCTCCTCATGTGTGTTTCTTTCTGCTGTCTCCTGGTTTTGGTTTCTTTTTTTTTTATTGTTCCTGCATTTAAGATTTTGTTGCAAAATGCATTGATTACATTGATGAAAATATGCAATGTTGGGAATACTCACACATTTTCCTGGATAATGACAGTTACAGGAGGCGGGAATGGATGCACCCCAGTCCTTGTAGCCTTCGATGAGACCACAGCATTCCAACTAGAAGGGTTACAAACAGGACGTCATTCATGTTATCTTTTTATTAATGAAGGAAATAAGATTGAAGCTTTAAAAATGACAGCTAAATGAAAATAAAAGTTTGTGACTGGCTTCTGTTCAGTGGTACAGTAGTTTGTTGCTGCCATTGGGTGGCGATATTAAAACGATCTACATCTTGGCCTCTTTAGTAGTATAATTAGAGAGAAATACTTTCTGTTTTCTGCTTTTGTACAGGCATATTTATGTTTTTGATGCCAATATTCCATAATTTCTCAAAAAACCCAAAACATTTTCTTTTAAAAACAGGAGACATGGGTTACTGTAAAAAAATGCTTAGATACCGTGATCGCCTGCAAAAATGGAGTGAAATTCACTAAACACTTTAGATCGATTTAATCTATAACATTTTGGGGGTGTATTTTTTTTTTTTTTAAATAACTTAAATCGTTTTTCATTCTTTCCTTGTTCATAAATTTTAGTCATAACAGTTTAGGTTCTCAGTTTCCTTTGAGGGTTTTATAAAATTCCAACAAAAGATTAAACTTCTATAAATCTTTTTCCACATTTTTACTAGTGGCATCAAAGTAGAGCTAGGGTTCATTTTTATTCATATTTATCCAAATGTAAATGACATTTTACAGCAAGTGTAAATGGATGATGAAACTACAGGCCTAGGCTTACTTCCTCTTGGATATTATGGAGCAATGTCCTGTTGGCTTTGTTCGGCCCAGTGAGCGGCATCATGGCCAGCAGCTTGGACTCCTCACGGACAACGCGTTTCTAAAGCCAGAAAAAGGAGATCTCTAAAGAAAATGTTGTTAAATATGCAAACATGTGGGATTTAAAGCTCATACCTCATAAACATCTTGATAACTTAATGCCGTTCTGATAATTATAGTTTGACTTGCCGCTGCCATGCCAGCTGCATACTGCAAAAAGACACCAAAGTTATAATAATTATCATAAATTTGTACAAAAAAACACTTTTTATGTGTTTGTTTTACCAGAATCAAACACCATCTCTTTCCTTTGCAGGCTCCGAACACACCGAGCACTGACAGCAGCAGGCAGCCGACTTCGATCACGTACATCATTGCTACAGAAATACTGGGCACCATCTTTAGAGAAAATCAAAGTGTAGTCAGTGGGTTGGAAAAAAAAAGCATACGCTGCACAAACCAGAAACTATATTGTGTGGTTATGTGTACTGTTACTTTAAACAAAAATTTTTGGCATGTTGATAATAAAGTGAAGACAAATTTGATTGTGGAAAAGAGGGCAATGCATTTTTCCAACAACTGATTTCTTTTCGCCCTACTTTTTGAATTTTTTACTTTTGAATTTTTCTTAATATTCCCTAAAATAATCTGTTTCGGGTTAATATATTAGATTGCAATCTAATATGGGCAGTTTATGTTATAATTGTCTTATATTTTGCTTTGCACATATATAAACAAATTAAATGTATTTTCAAAACCTTTAGAAGACCACTCAAGATGTTACTCTAAAATATTTCAGCAAGCATGTCATTCCAGGAAGATTATATAAAAATAATGCTGCCATGGTAAGTTCAGGTGAAATCATTGGAGAGGGTTCATTAATAATCCCTTTTTTTCTGCTTCCTTGCTTTAAAAAACTACATTTATCCATTTAAAATAACAAAAACTGACAAACATCAAAATTATATCTTACCTTGCCAGTTTGTATAAGGTCCCGATGCCAAATCACAGTCAGCCTCAACATGAAGAAACACAAAGCCTTGAAAAAAAACATCTCAAAATGTTTAATTTCAGTTTTTTTCCCCTAAACAAATAAATTCAAATCCTCTTTAATTCAGACTCTCCACAGAGATTATGCATTGCAGCTTATAATGTCAACCCTCAAAGGATAAGTATTCTTGAACCCACTGCTGTCACTCCTTAAAGGAGCAGGAACTTATTTAATAAGAAAGGAAAAACAATAATAACACCAGGCATCAAAAATATTGACCAGCTGGCATTTAACGCATCTGGAAATCATTATTTACTACAAATTTAGCATTATTTAATATTACAAAAAAAAAAAAATGTAATTATAAATTTTAAGAAGGTATCAAAACAGGCCTGTTCGGATAAACTGGAATGCACCTACCATATGTACAGCGTTAGCGAAAATAAACGGCCTTTTCAGGCTCGTTTTATCCGCCACCACGACCACTGAGCTCTTCTGCATGATCTCTGTGGACTCGCTTCAAAATTCCTTTTTCTTCTTTAATAGAAGGAGAAAACACATCGGCGAGGAGCCCGCAGTGGAGGCAGTAAGGGCATCTGTCTGCATCCGCAGGACGTCACGGTGACGGGCTGGATGCTGACTCTGTGCTGCCTTCAAGTTGCCTGTGGAAATGTAGGAAATACGAGACTTCTGATTTCTGATATGCCATTCATTGAAAAGCAAAACTGTAAATGGGGAATATGAAATTAGAAATAACTGAAATCTACGGAAGAGGATTAGGGACACTGAAAAAATAAAAATGTTGACTAATTTTTAAATTTTATTTCAGTTTAATATCGGAAAAAGGTCAGAATTCTGACTTTAATCTCAGAACACTGACTTTAATCTCAGAACTCTGACTTTTTTTTCTCATAATTCTGACTTTAATCTCAGAATTCTAAATTTATTCTCACACTTGTGACTTTTTATTCAGAATTCTGACTTTTTTTTCTCACAACTCTGACTTTAATCTCAGAATTCTGACTTTTTTTCTCACAACTCTGACTTTAATCTCAGAATTTTTAATTTAATCTCAGAATTCTGACTTTGATCTTAGAATTCTGACTTTAATCTTAGAATTTAGGATCTTAATGTAGATGGGCACTATGAAGACATAGATGTTTGAGCACTCAACTTCACTGACAAAGATGTGAGTTGTTTGGAAGGGCCAGTAACACATTGGTGGAAAATGACGGAATTAGGCAACTTTTTACATGCCCGAGGGTCCCCAGTGATGCTGTTTCATTAATGGAAGAGCAGAAGATGATTAAAACAAGAGAGCTAGTCTCTAACGCAGACATGGTTACTGCTTGATGCTAACATGTTTGTTAGCTGTCAGAATTCAGTCAGAATTCCGAGAAAAATGTCAGAATTCTGAGATTAGAGTCAGAATCCTGAGAAAAAAGTCAGAATTCTTAGATTAAAGTCAGAAATCTGACTTTTTTCTCATATTATACTGAAATAAAATGTAAAAATAAGTTAACTTTTTTTTTTTCAGTGGCCCTAATCTTCCTCTGGAGAAACCTACTCTAATTTAAATTTTAAGCTTATTATTTTAGGCTGTATTCTATAAGGCATAGTTTATGCAATGTCCTGCAATGTTTTGCAGTTAGATTTTTTTTCCTTCAATACTTGGATTTTTATTTTTTACTATTTTATAATTATATGTTTAACATATATTCAATTTAATTTAAATCCAGTGAATTGTATAGCCGCCTTTTCATTCCTTCATCAGTTTATCTTTTACTTTAAGAAACCATCAGTGTTTTTATATTCAGGCCATGAAACCAAGCTGAGTCATAATCCACCATCACTTTGTATTCAGTGAGTTTGTTCAAGCACATTCTTCCTCCTTACAGAAATCGCAAGGAAATGATCCAATTGAAGAGATTGTTAATCATCTGTGCAAGATCTAATGGTACTATAAATAAGTGCTTTAATTTTATTGATTCTCAATATGATTTTTGCTTCACTTATTGCAGTTTTTGGGATAAATGTTTGCTAGTTTAATCTATTTAAATAGCTTTCGTTCAAGCAAATCTTATGTTATGGCACTTTGCAGGACAAACACACCCAGCTTTTGTCTAATTTAATGAATCCATTTTCCGTCACGCTTATCCCAAGTGGGATCGTGAGGGGTGCTGGTGCCTATCTCCAGCTGTCTACGGGCGAGAGGTGGGGTACACCCTGGACAGGTCGTCAGTCATTTTATGAATCAATTATTATAATTTACTCTGAAATAGTTAACACTCACTGAGCTAAAAATACTATAATCAACAGAAAGGAACAAAAAACTATGAGAAAATAGCCATAACTGTAATTCACTAATAAAGTTGAGTTGCAAGAAAAAAAAAAAACTGTCAGGGAGTCCTCCTGCTGGCTATTCTAAATAGCTCAAGATAACCTAAAAAACTTTATCTATGAATTTGAGCAAAATTTTAAGGTTAGTCTTAAATTTAATAGAAAAGAAAAACTGTTTTTTTTTTTCAAACTGGGAGCTGACTGAACAGGAAAAGAGCATCATCCCTGAAGTATCTAGATGCTATTCTACTCTGCATGACTCTATCATCTACACAGAGAAAAAGTTAATAAGAATATGCTGCTCATTTTTGCAACTCGAAGTAATTGTACAAGGTTTTTAAGGGTCTGTAAGTTTTTCTTTTGAAATTTATTACATCTGCCTTCATTTTTAATCTTCCTCTCTGGTTTGTTGAGCAATATGTTAACCCTCTCAGGTTAAAATTAAGATGTAGTTGCAGGAAAAATCTGATATTTGGAGAAAATGATCATATGGGGTAGTAATACTGTATACAATTCAGACTTTTTTTTGAGAGAGACCTTCACTTGCAAAGAATTCTGGGATGTTGCAGATTTGCAACAGTGGCCCGAAGTGGTAAATTAAAACTAAAGACTGGATCTGATATGAACGTTAACTTTATTTGAATGTCACAAACAAAAAATTAACAAAACAAAATTCGAAAAAAAAAAAATTTCTCTCACAAAATTAGAGACAACTTTTTCTCAAACATTTTCTACACCAACATCTCAAAAGCTCTTGAGAAGGCCGTCTCTGTTAAACTGTTGCTCAAAATATAGGCAAACTAGTAGATAAAGCATGTAGCATCCATTGGTACCTGTTTGGGCACACATTGCGAATCCACAACATTGAAATCAAGATGCCTCTGGTGAAAAACCCAGAGGAGATAAAATCTACTCATTGGCATACAGTATGTCATATCTATACACATTCATGATTCATCTTGTGTAGTATTGATTTCAAAATAATGGAAATTGATAGTGATACTTAAATGAAATTGGTGCTTAGAAAATCTATTTCAGTGACACCAAGGACTCAGCCATGTTGAAAGTGAGTCAGCAGTGCTATCTGGTAAGCTGGAGAGAAACTGTCCTTCTGTTGTACTTCTGAGTAACAAAAGCTCTTAAAATATGGATGTGGAGTAATTAGCTAAATGGGATTTAGCTGTTGCAAATATGCAACATCTGCCTGGAGAGGGTTAAGAGAAAAGTCAAAGATCAACTTGTGTCCATGGAGTTTTATACTTACAGCCTGTCTCCAATTCACTTTATACAGTATTTTCTGACGGCTGCTATCTAAAAAATGTCAAATTGAATTTTTTTTTTTTTTTTATCTTTCACAAACTTGAAAAGTTTGTGAAAGATAAACTTTTGGACTGATAACTGAAAATGTATCAGGGCTATCAGCCCTGATACATTACTTCTATTATGTCACTGAAAAATAATTACTATTATAAGCAATGACCAAATATGGATAGAAAATCTAATCAATTTTAATGCTTGCAGATTTCATTGATTAAAATTTCACATAATGCTATAACAATGTATCTCCCAATTTTTAACCATATTACCACAACAGTTTTGATTATAACTCTAAACTGTCTCAAAAGAAGAATAAAAAAAGAAATGGCTTTAATTCAGTTACTATTGAAGAAGGAATTAAGTAAACATCTATATCATTTGTCGCTTCGTAATTATTTTTGTTTGGGAAATCTTTATACAACTGATACTATTAAATTGGTAAATATGAAAACTATATGTGAAGCACTATAGATTCATTAAATAAATCACCTGGAATCCAGTTTGACTTCTTGCCTCAAATGGAACCTGTAAAACAAGTTATAGTAATAGCTTCTGCTCTAGATTAATGCAACAGTTCTTTCAGGAGGAACAGGTTAAGAAAGTTCACTGCTCATTAACTGCATTTCCCATAGTGCAACATTAGATATGGAGCTGGGCTACGTATTCATAACAGGTGGGGCTGGTTTCTATTGTTCCTGTGGGTCATGTGAGGAGGGCAGGACTCAGGTGAGGAAGAACAGGAAAAACTGATGGGAGAAACCCAGAGGGAGGAACCAAGAGAGAATGTGTGTGTTTATGTGTGTAAGAGAGACCTGGGACGACAGACTGCTATGAGGTGATACGATTTCACACCTACTAACTGGAAGATTTTTGTTCTTTTATTGACATTACTGCAGATTATTCATGAGGACACAAAGGATGGAAGGGATTTTTTATGTTGTTGGTTACCATGGACGGTAAAGTGGGTCAACACCTGAGAAGGAGCTGAAAGGAGCAGCTGAAATAACGCATTTTTGTAGCACTGAAAGAGCATGAGAGCGGAAGGAAATACTAAACTTTCAGGGAATACAAGAGAGAAAGAATGCAGAACTGGAAATAATTTGTCTTTTTATAAAACATATAGAAAAAAAGATTTCTGGTGCTTTTATCACATTGAGGACATCATCTAATCTGCTGATTTATATTCTGCTTAGCTGTTGTTGCTTGTAACATTTTTTTTTTATTATTGGGTCCTTTTTCTGCCTTGATTCAAACACAAAGATAACCCATCACCTTCCAGCTTCAAAGGTCAAGCATTCCAAGTGATCTAGAGTGCAGCTAAAGGAGAGATCATTTCCTCTATTCACGCTGAAATAGACGCAGACACACTCTGCTGTACTTCCACAATGCAGGCACCAGCACCTGAGCACGATGACACTTTTGATTTTCTTTTTAAGATCATTCTTATTGGGGACACCAATGTGGGGAAAACCTGCATTGTCCAGAATTTCAAGTCAGGGATTTTCTCAGAGAAACAGCAGAACACCATTGGGGTGGATTTTACTGTCAGGACGGTGGATATTGATGGAAAGAAAGTAAAGGTAAGTTTTCTACATATTTTTTTCTATTCTAGTTAGATATTTAGAAGACAATAAATAAAGGATCTACAAGAGGCATTAAGGTTTGCTGAAGTGTTTTGGTTTGAAGATACTTATGACAGATAATCAAAAGTAGAGCTTCTATTTTATAGATTTTATGACCTTTTGATCCGTTTAACAGCTTACGGTTAGATTTTATTCCCATTTTATGCAAAAGCGGGTATCCTCAGTGACATTACAGCAAGTTGTAATGGCAGTTTGCTTTGGGCCTAAACAGGTCTGACTGGCTGCTGGTATGAAGAACTTGCCAATCAGGTTCCTCCCTTTGGTGACTGCAAAAATAGACGCTCATCTACTGTTATCTCACTAGAAAAGGAAGCTGTTACTTTTTAAGACCTTAATTAGTTCTGCATCCACTGACCTAAATAAAGAAATAAATAAAATGAAATCATACCCCTTGATTCCATTTAGTTCACCTTATTTTATCAGGATTGTATGCAATATACAAAAAACAAAATAGTGCATCATTTAGAAGCCTTTCTTATCCATTTTGAAGCAAATCATCCCCACAGCTCTATGCTGCCACCACTGTATTTCACAATAGGAAAGGTGCTTTCAGAGGGATACATTTTATTCCTATATGAGGTGACACTAAAGTTGGCCGATAACAAATCCATAACAACCCCTTTAACATTCCTCTTTAAGTTTAAAGAATATCATTATGAAAAGCAAAAAAACTCCTATTTTGGAAGAGACTTTCAATCTGTGAATGATTTTGCTTTTTAATTTGGGGATTTGGGTTTTTATCTATGCTAAGAAAAAATGTCCTCATGTTACATCAAAACATTTTGTTAACAGTCAACAGATCAATATTTTGTTGACTAAATGTTGAATATAAGCAGCTTGGGTGACCTCTGGAAGGGTTTTAATTTGTTTTTACAAATCTTGTTCAACAGTTACTGCACCTTGAGGCTGTTATAAGTTAAAATACCTGCCAAGACTGGATTGTTCAGATGAGTGATTATTGTGTCTTCATCTGCTTTTTTCTGCCTGAAGCTACATCTACAAAGCTGGTTTTCCAGCTTAGTTATTTTTAACCAACAGAAAGTCATTGTTAAGTTTTTATTTCACTACTAAAATACTCTATTGCCAAGTTTGCTTTTACTTTCAAAACACATTAGGAGACTTATTTTTTTATTTTTTTTTTATTTTATATACTCTAATAATCCCAGAGGGAAATTACTTCTTACCATTTGCTCTATCATTTATTTAACCTACATTTAAATATGTATTTAGGTCAAAAGATGCCTCAAGTTCATGTTCAGCAATTTATTTCCTTTATTTTTCCTTTATTTCCTTTATTTGTTTGCTTTAAATTTATTGAACTCTTCTCTAACTGACTAGCTTTATTGCTGTGATGTAATTAAATGGGTTTGCTTTTTGAGTGTAGTCTGGTTGCTACAACGATACAAAGGTCTCTTACTGAAGATCCTTGGAGAGTACTCTCAGATATGTATGAGTACTCTAGATTCTCCACAGGGGAAACCAAAGAGTTTCTCCTATCATTGCTGATGCAAACTGTTATTTGCTTATAATCGCCATAAAAATGAATCTACTTCTCAGTTTGATTATTGGGGATAATTTCCACATCTGCACTCAAACCCAAAGCAACACCCTGAAAAATCTCCTATTACCTCCTCAAATGCCTCAGTATGACAGCATCACTCTCATCACACCTGGTCATGTACATGCTTTTTTTAAGTTTATAGATTCAAGCATAACCAATAAATCCAATGATTTTCCATAGTTCCTCAATCAGGAAACTCTAACCCAGATGGCGAGAAAAAACAATATATAGGAATTTATTCATGTAACATAAATTGTAACTGTAAAATCATTACTGAGCAGAAAACTTCACATTTGGTTCTTTTGTGAGTTTTAAGTGTTCAACTGTCTTTGCCTCCTACAAATACAGGCGGTTAAGTCTATATATCAATGCCAGAGAAACAGCTATTACGTAGGTACGACACACCCAGAGCAGGCAGCCCAGGTTTGGGGTTAAACCCTAGTCTAGGTTTGGTTTGTTTGTGTTTAATTACATATCACACCATCATTCTTATTGTTAGTTTTCTACAATATAAGTCTAATTAGTCATGTCTTTCTCTCTGTGTTATCTCCCACTGCTTTTGGTTGTGACAGTGGGTATCACAAAGCATCTTTAGCTTTATTTAATAGTACTACTAGAGGAGAAGACTTTTTGTGAGAAGACACTCACAAAAGTAATTATTTACCATAAATATTATCAGGACAAAAATAAAGACCTAAACCTCCAAGCAAAAATGCAATCATTTATGTAAATAACATCCTGTTACATAACACTGTGCCAACCCTAACTTGTACATAAACAAACTAAAATAGCAAGGATTCAGGTGTATTTTTCTGCTCCCCCTCCTTTTTCTATTGACTGAAGTTGCTTTGCTTTTCAGCTTTTACAGCAGCCTTATCCCTCAACTTTAACAGCTAATCGGAGTTCATGATTTCTTGTGGGATTAGCCGCAGCCTTTAATAATGTTTGCTTAATAACCACTTTCATATCTTCATAGTGACATGCTGAGACTCTGTTCATTTTCCTTTTAACTATTTTCGGTCCAATCAATGGGAAAATTGCTTCTTTTAAACCGCTGCTGATTGCTTTCCTAGTAAACAGTGTGTAAATATCAAACATTAAGCAGAGAGAGAAATATCTCTAATTATCAATCTTTTATTTTGATCAATGCTGCACTTTATGGAATGGAAATGTTCCTTTTCACTGCTAAGTTGCTGCTCATTCCCTGTCTGAAAGCTGTATAAATGTCATTTTGTTTTGCATACACTCTGTATATACAAATTGTCAATAAAGTTGCCCAAGTCTAAGTCTTTTATAATAAAAACTTTCCCTTTATTAAGTATCTACACCTAAAATAGTGACGCTAGACAAAAGTCTATTTTTACTACTATTAAAAAGTAAGTTAAATCCTTAAAATAATGTGAACATTAATCTGGATGTGTTTCTCTGTGGGACAGATGCAGGTTTGGGACACAGCGGGTCAGGAGAGGTTTCGCACCATCACACAGAGCTACTATCGCAGCGCTCATGGTGCCATGATTGCCTACGACATCACACGAGCTTGCACCTTTGACTCGGTGGACCACTGGATCAAGGAGGTAGAGCTGTATGGAGCAGCCAATGTACTCTTGGTGCTAATAGGTGAGTTACATTTGGACCTCACTGATAAATTAGGACACTATGGGCCTGATCTTTAGAGGGTTTATGTGCCCTAAAAGACGTGCAAACTTGTTTGTATGGTCAGAGCAGAAATATAAAGAAAGTGCAGTGATCTGTGTTTGTATTTCAGCAGACAGTGTCTGCAAAACTTTATTTTGTGTGTGTGTGTGTCATCATCAAATCATAATATGACCAAACCGCGCAATTTCTGGTTGGAGGAAATGAAAATGAAAACATTTTCCACGTGCAACATAGTTTTTTAAATCTAATACTCAACTGCAGATAAAGTTTTTACACTATTTTAGCACTTTACAGTCAGATGCAACAGTCATGCAAAATGTTCTGGAGTCATGTTGTTCCAAAGGAGATATTGGTAAAGATATTCTGTGCACATCTACATACCTTTGGAGCAGAAATAACAATAATAGAGAGCACTTAGAGATAGCCTACATATATAAAAAGCTGTTTTGGTATATTATTGTGAAATAAATTTTATCATTACTACCTCCAACTATTTCTTAGAACCTCATCTTTCTTTTGACTGCTCTCAACAGCTTGTAGAACATGCAACCTTTTTGTTGCACCTATCTTTATATAGCAATAAGAAAAGACAAGGACATAGAACCCTAGAAGTAAAATTTGATTAAACTGCCAAACAAGTCTGGATTCTGATTTCCTTTAAATTCTGTTTTCTGTGGATAATTTTCTTGGGCAAAAATGTAAGTTTTAGTACATCTGAGGTGTGTGTAATTTCCATATCCATTTTTTTCAATGACTTCATGATGTCCTCCATTTAGGTAACAAATGTGACCTGGAGGAAGAACGGGAGGTTCCATTCCAAAAAGCTTGCAATCTGGCAAAAGAAAGAGGTATACTAGCTGCTTTGGAGACATCTGCAAAGGTAATACATATAAATACAGATAAGAATTTATAATGCGATTGAATTTTGTATTTATTTAAATTGCTTTTTATCTTCTACAGCAAAGTCAGAATGTGGAGGATGCTTTCTTAATGATGGCCAGGGAGCTGTTGTCTCGGAATGGCCTTCATGTCCAGCAGGCTGATGCTGAAAACCCGAGCATGCCGAGGATTCTAATCAGGGAGAACTCTCGACCGATAGACATCAGCATAGGAGCCTACATTCCACCGGAGAAGGAGAAGAAGTCATGCTGCTGACTTGGGGAAACTTTGACTGAAGATGCTGAACAATGTGAAGGACATTTTATTTATCAAGAATGCTGAGGAATGAAAGAAACCAGGATGCTTTATGCTGGATGCATTTATGAGGCATAGAGAACCGAAAATCAGCTAAAAAAGGGAGGTGCTGAGGAGATGGTTAAGAAATATTGATTCCATCTGATCTTAGAGGAATGCTGATGAAGCGTTTTCTCCAATCTATGATCAGTGTTCAGGGGAAACTACAGTAAAACAATCTTTTCCACAGGTCCATGGTGTCATTCTACCTATTAGACTTCTAATTCATCTTCTACAAATGGACACATTTGAATCCCTAAGTAGCCTCAGCAACTGTCTCACAAGAAGTGGGAAGGTGTTGGGGGAGTGGGGGGGTTACAGTGCAGTTTTGCTAAAATGGTGTAAAGCTTTGACCGTTTCCTCATACTGTACACTGTAGACCTAAGTATCTTACACAATGTGCCATACACAAAACACTGTGAAGTATACATGTCTGGATTTATCTCATGAAACATCTCCTCATGTTGATAATAATGTCTTTCAGGCACCTCTATCTGCTCGTTATTAACTTAAGAAAATGAAGCAGGACAGTTTGACCTCTGATGGAAATGGATCATTACATGTTTCTAACCTATGTCCAACGTAAAGTTGTCAATCTGTGAAGGACATTGTCTGAACACCAGGTGGTGCTGGTTACCAGCACATGATCTGTACAGTTGGATTCTGTTTGTCTTTCATAATAAAGAGAAACATGAGTTGAAATGAATAGAAAGGGTTTCCACAGATGCTAAGTCGGGATTATAAATATACCAACTTATTGCAATTTTCTCAACAAAAAAAAAGAAAAAACATTCTGCATTATTTTTAAAGGGCTATGATACCAGAAAATGGTATAATTTCTTGTGAAAAAATCACTTGCTGTTCATAATTTTAACTTGAAATACTTGCTGAGGCTCTCATAACTTTTGAATATGTGTCTCATTTTGTTTCTATCACAAAATCCTGTCAAAATACTAATAATTGAACATAATTGATCCCACTGTATGGCGCCTGGGGAGCAATCAGGGATTAAAGGTCTTGCTCAGGGACCCAGAGTTCAGGCTGTGGGGATTAAACCGGGTACTTGCATGCTTCTCAGAGTACAAGCTCACTGCTCTAATCACTAGGCCAACACTCCCCTACAAAGAGTTAGGCAGTAGCATTATGACAATATTTGAAAAGGTTGGAGGAAACCAATACTTTTTGTCACTAACGATAATTGTGTGCCCGGTATCCAGCAGGTAATTGATGATACTGGCTTGGGTATTGTATTATCAGTTTTTCTTGCTTATGGTTGAGGCATTTGCTAAAAAGAAATGTTACCTACAATGTATGCTGGAGACAGATCCGGGGTAAGAACTGAGATTAATATGCCAAATGAAACAAGAAGCATGTTTGTAATAGACGTAATGTTCTCTAATCATTCTTTCGCAACATCAGATCAGCATAATGAATGAGAAAAATGATCAGCAATGTCCCTGTAGAACAAGCGGAGCCAATTTCTGATTCCTGCCATTTGTCATGATTTCACTTTACCGCAAATTAAATATTTCTACATAGACAATTTGCTATTAGTCATTCCTGTTTATAAGTAAAACAAGCAATCTGGAAAACAAAAAAAAAATAGACCCAAATTTATTCCAGAGAAAATACAGAAAATGTCAGACATTAAGCTGGAAAATAACAAGTAAACCAAAGAAAACATATCCTGATCTCAGTGTTACTGCACAGAAACAAAACAAAAAGGCACCACAATCTAACCGGCTGGAATGTCAGGGTTTGGCAACAAACACAGCCTGGTTTGGAAATATTCTTATATAAGATAAATAGAAATTAAAGCCCACCACTTAAAAAACAAAGCAGCAAGGCAATGAAACAAATAAGCGTTAGAGCAAATGTTTATCATCCTATTTTATGCTTATTAATGAGGATGGAAATTGCTTTTTAAGAAATACTTTTACTCAATATTTTACTTCACATACTATATCTTTAACACTTAATCACTGATTTTTTTTTAATCCATGTTGACGTCTGACCTGCAGGTCAATAGTCATGTGTAAATTTCTCCCATTCTAGCTCAATCTGATGATGTCTATCTCATTGGGTTCCTTCTTCCTTATGGGCTGGGGTAGAAGATCCAATTGTCCTTCAGCCATCTCCCCCATCACCTGCTGTGCTTCGTTCTCCGACCCTCCATGTGCTCCCTGCCCATTGTCATTGTCTTCTATCTGTTTATCTATAGGACACTCCCCGTTGTAGGTTTTGACGTAGTCTTCCACTCTCCAGCCCCTGAACTCCTCTGGCTCTGAGCAGATCAGGCCAGTGAACGAGACAGCTGGGTGATGTTTGAGCCAGTAGACCAAGTAGTGAATGTAGTAGTCGCACATCCATGGGTTGTTGTCCAAGTTAAGCTTCCGTAGGAAGTACAGGTCCTCCAGTACGCCGTAAGGGAAATACCGAAGGCTGTTGTTGGACAGATCGAGGTGACGGAGGTGCAGCAGGCCTGCAAACGCAGCTAGGAGGGAAAAGATGCAGGAAAAATGAGCTTAACCCACAAAGCACCAAATCTATGTTTGATAAGAAAAATATATAACAAACAGTTAAACTAAATAAAAAAAAGACATCAAATGTATATTTAACATCAGCAAAGTCTTTCCTCTTAATATGTACCTGTTTTAGCATTAGATGAGTTTGCATCTTTAAAATTCAGAAAACCATCAGCAGAAGGATATGTTACTAAACAAAAATGACCTGTTAGGATAAACTTTTCCTTTAGTAAAAGTTAATAAACTATTTGATTTGTTTAGCTTTTCTGGAGGAGTCTAGAACAGTGGTTCCCAAACTTTTTTGACTTGTGCACCCCCCTGGCCATTTTATCTCACCATGTGTACCCCCTGGGTCAAACGTGTTATGTTAAAAGAATAGAAAGTACAACTGATAAAAAAAAAAAATCTAAAATATTTTTGTTAATTTTCTTAACATTTCATGCTCAGACATTTCATTTTTTTCCAGATTAGAATAAAATAACATAAATATGTTGGCTGGAAAGAGAACAAGTACTGAAATAAATCCAAATTAAGTTACAAATCTATGTTGTTGTTTTTTTGTTTTTTTTTTAATACATGAGCTCTTCTAAATAAGTCCCCTATACACACATACATACTTAACAAATCAGGAAAAAAAAAATTCAGATTCACTGTCATTTTTACTTTGTTTTCATCATTCACTGTGTGTTAACTGCAGCTGCTTTGGAGCTTTCTTCTCTTGTGACCTTTGTCTTTGCACCTGAGAGCAGTAGTGCAAGGCACCAATACCCACTCTAGTCTTTCATGTAAATGTTTTCATCTGTTTAGTTGATAAAATCGTCTTTTATTTTGCATTTGGGTCCTTACAGAGCAAAACCCATCCCAGACCCATTTTATTGTATTTCTTTATCTGGGAAATAAATTATCAAATGTCTCCACATACACCCTGCAATGCATTGACAAACCACTAGGGGTACTATAACCCCTAGTCTGGAATCCCTGGTCTACCACTGAATTGTACTTCTTTGTGTCAGAAGAGATAGAAAATCTCATTGGTGTCTCCATACATACCTAAACAAAAACAATGGTTTTCTGTGTTTTTTGTACCAAAAAAAAAACAAACATATGCCTTAAAGATTGAAGTACTTTCAGAGGATCCTCTTAAAGTAAGTCAAACATTCCTGTTGGCCAAGACAGCCTGTGCTTCACTTACAGGGAGAATTATTCTTTGCATGACAGCAGAGAATAAATAAGATTTGGCCCAGGTTGTAAGGACTGGACATAGGGGTTTAATTCAAGAAGCATCAGCTACCACTAGAGTATGATGTATGGTCAGTAATCTCTACTGCTTGGCAGATATGAGTATAGGAATGTTAGTCGTGCAGCAAATAACTGAATCTAACTTAATATCATTATACTTAAAGAGCTTCCACTATTAAGTAGCTGGCATGCTTTTATTTTTATGAATATGGGAATATAAGCAAAACATCATAAATATGCATTGCTTCATGTAAACTAGTTTAAAATTCCTGGGGGCACCCCTACCTGCAGCCACACAGTATCACCTTTAACCCCTTTTCATATTCTGCACACACTGATTCATAGACTCTTCTAGCACTTGCTGCACTTTATGGACATTCTACATATTACATTTGTTCTAAGGATGTCTAAGATTTTCTCCAAATTCTTTTGCTTTTTGTCTGTTTATAATGTGCATCTCTAAGCAGGGAGTTAGCAAAGCTCTGTAGTGGTTTGATCATTACTGTAAAGATTCCTATTTCTAGGGGATTGTCTCTCAGATGAATCTTAATGCAACCTAAGCTTTTGATAAGCCCAAAACTAACTGAAAGATCAATGTGATCTCTTGACTCACTTTCTAATTCTCCAGAGAATTTCAAAATTAAAGGAATAGAAAAAGTAGCTACAGATAGTAAAGTCCTAAAGACCATTGATGGTCAACCTTAGACATCTGTACCCATATGGACAGATTCCACTGTTCAACTTCTGTGTTATTTTGCATATTAAGGTTATTATGAGGGAGATTCTAGATGGGAATCGAAATGCATAAAAGAAAAAAAGGTGGAATAACGCTTGTGGCTAGTGGCAGTGTGACACTATTATCCATTTTCCCATGGCTCCCCTTGGCCGGGATCCACTCTACACCACAAATATTTCAAACCTTCCCATCAATAGTGGCTTTTATCAGCCCTAAAAAGCCAGCCCCGACACCGAACAAGCTGCAATGAAAATAAGTAGATCCATTTATGTGTGCAATAAGGAGGATGTCTATTTGCCATTTTAACTTGAGTTCTCCCCTTTACTTATTTTTGAAATGGACAAAACCCCCTGAAGCATTAAAAGTAAGTTTTGCTCTCGGATCTAGTCATAAGTAACACTCAAACGGATCACCTAACAGAACCCGAATAGCCAACAGTGGCTTCAAGTACAGCTAATGATGCCTTTTAAATGCCATAGGTGTTGTCACTATGCTTTTCTTTAACATGTAAGCATGAAAGCATGTGCAAGTGTTTAGAGTGGGAGTAATGGGGGGGTCGTAGACTGTTTCTTGCTGTCCACCCGCCTCCGGCCCTGCTTTTATCTTTACAGAGCGGAAGAGAGGAAGAGGAGGAGGTGGGGAAAAAAATGCAAGGAGAGGACTGATCATGGTAGAAAAGTGTGTCAAAATGAAAAACAAAAGAGGAAAGCAACCAATGATTTATGCTAAGCCTTTATAAGCATCTCTGCCTTAAATCATCCAGTTTTTTTTTACAGCACAGATAAATAGATTTGTTGCAGAGAGGGAAGGGAGGATAAGGGGTGTCTTCAACTGAGGTATGTTATCTGGTGAATCATAGGACAGAAGCAGATCCGCTACTGTTCCTTTGGTTGTTGGAGCCCCCCACTACCAAGGGAAAAACGTTCATAATGCTTTCCCAGAGGATGAAATTAACTGCTCTTATCACATACCTATTTTGCAGCCATTAGCATAAGCATTTGAGAAAACCAAAAAAAAAAAAAAAACTGAATCTCCCTGAACCCCACAGTACTGTCTGAGGTAGATCTTCCAGAGTTTGAGACTGTTTCCATATTTTGGGGAATATAACTGTGTGACTTTAAGAAAAGCAAAAAAAAAAAAAAAAAACCATTATCAGTCAATCCAAAAACAACCCTGGTGTTGGATTTTCATTCAGCTTTTTCTCCCCATTACTCTGGTCATCGTCTACATACAAAGCATAAATAAACACCCTCTCAGGAATTTGCTCCAAATGTGAACATGATTAGAAGGTTTTGGGAGGATTGCGGCCATATGTCTCAGTCTTACAAACCTCTCAGAATTACATGGCACTTTTTTTTTTTCTTTGATTTACAAATAGGGTTAGACACACTGGGTGAGCTGCCATAGATTGTTTACGTGTGTTGATGGATAATAAATTAAACCACAGGCTTTTGCATGAGGATTTCCCTTTTGCATAGTGTAATTGAAGTCAGAAATCGTAAGTCTTGTGAGAGTAATTTTTTATTTTTTTTTAGGAATTCCTCTTCCGCTGAGGTTAATGTATTCAGAGAAGAAAACTACAAAAACAGTCTGTTTCAACATAATTTTCTTTCTGTTTGAGGGACTGGTTGTCAGTTGTTTTATCTAAACATTGCACTAATGGATATAAGACACAGCACTATAGTGGATCCCATATGTGTATATACATAAACACATGATGAGTGTATGTTGTAGTAAGGAGTTGATTAGAAGGCAGGTCCACTTCTTTTTCAACATCTCCAAATGTTGTCTCTCTTTGACTTAAATGCTTTACAATTTAGCTTGTACATCCCACTCCCATTTTACTACTGTACCTTCATTTCTTTAGAGAAAAACTATTTGTAGATAAAATATGTTTTAGGGTTTCTGTAAAGACCTATGCATTTCCCTATGATCTCAGGAAAAATTTGAATAGGACATAAGCTTTTTTGGATGAAACAAAAAAGCACAAGACTATATTCAGGTTTAAGTCAGAAATATTCCCCATTTTCATTTGAAATCTAGACTATCTTTATCAAAATTAGTAATCCTGTGAAGTTGTTATTCATGTATTTGCCATTATTTTCTGTTGAAAGGAATATTAAAGATAAAGCCCATCTGCATAGCTATAGTTATTCATTGCTCTGCAGAAGATGCTCAGCTTTTTTTTTTTATTTATATTGATATAATGAATGTTAGCTCATCCCAAATACCTCGAACTTGAATAATTTCCGAGAGACACACACCAAACATGCTTAAAGGCTTACCCTTATTAGATTTATTTCTGTTTATTTATTTGAATGAAGAATCAGTTCTGTAGGATGCAACACATTGAATATATTCTTTTTGAAAAGCATGACAAACACTATGTAAATATTAAGCTTTATGTATCCAAAAACACAGATGGAAATCATAATTAATTGGACAAATAATGTAATTTTGGATTTCCAACTGAAAACAATTATAATAATTGGACTTGAGAAACCATGCAATTACAATTTTACCTGTTGGAAATCAACTACATCCTTTTACCATTTAAACAATCTTCAAACACAAAATGTCTTTTTTTTTTGGTTGTAGTTTTTTAAAGAAACCTTTGGGTTGTGTTTGACCAGAACATATTCTTATCTCCACATTAAGCAGGACCCGAGACCAGTGCTAGGAACCAAATTGCATAATAATTTGCATCACTTTCCTGTGCGTGGTTGGACAGGTGAGGTTTAATATAATACGGTATATATATGTGGATCTGATTATGATTTTTTTTCCTAACAACAATAACGCTAATAAAATGTTTTAGAACTTTATTTTTTTGTGTGTTTACATGCTTTGAAAGGCTATAAAATAGGTAAGAAGGAGTAACAATAATGCCTTTTATGCAATTTAACAAAAATAAAACTATACCTTGCAAGAGAATTGTAACAGGGGTCTTACTACTCAAGTAAATCCCCCAGCAGGACTGTTTAATCCCAGCTTTTCTGTGTGAAACAACATAAAACTGAGCAAGTTCATTCCTAATTTCCTTTTTTAATCTGTGGATCTGCATCATCATCTCTCCTCTTTCTCTGGATCCTTCCAAATAGAGAAAAAATCTGTGGAAGTGTGTCAGCGGTCGCCATGATAAGTGCTAAATGAATAGTGCTGGCTGTAAGGGAAAAGCTACGAAAAGGAAACAGGCTGCTTCCTATCACCAGTTCATTTAGCAAAGAGACCTTTTGATGTTTCCACCGTTGCTAGGTGCTATACAATTGCCCATCATCCTTTGCATGACAGGACATACAGGTACGAGCTTAGCTTGACTTATAGAGATGAACAAAAATACATTATTTCATGACATGTACACTGTGATGTAATGTACACTCCTTTATATGTTTTTATAACGTAGAGCTTTAGCTGTTTTCTAAATTTTTGTCGTTTGGGGTTCCTTTTTAGCAAGGCTGTAGTCCAAATTTTACAAGCATGAGCTACCGCGTAAATCAGTCCCGTAGATTCAGCACAGCAGTCCTTTCCCTACTTCCAAATACATCAAATTGTAGCTCCTACCTCCTGTTCCTAGCTTCCTTCCCTTTACTTTTTGCTCGGTCAAAAGTAAGAACATTATCCAGAGTAGGAAAGGAACAGACAGGTAAATGACTGATGCCTGTCGCATTAGGACCACAGCTTTGCAAAAAAGAATTTATATAAACAAAAGTGACACAAATGGTACAAAGGGTTGAAGCATTCCATTATAAAACCCAAAATATATGAAGGTGTGTACATTTGTATGTTTAGCACAAAGTACATTTGAAGAAATAATGCATTTTTGTTAAACTCCGTCAGGTGGGCTGTGCCAATACGCCCTGATTTTGTGCAACCATACAGCTTGTGCAACCGGTGACGTACTTCCACTGCGGCTTAAGTGTCCTTACTGATTTAAGGGATTTTAATTGTGCCTCTATGTTTAAAGCATGTTGAACATTGTGGCTCCTCAGCCATTCAGTGTCATGTATGCTTATATCAGCCCCCTGCTTGTCCCTGCAGTAAAAATCCCTCCCTGTAGCTGAGTGCATATACAAAAAAAAAAAAAAATTGGCTTCGATTGATCGAGTTGTAGTAATGCATTGCGTTAGACTGCAAGTAACGGAGTGAGTAGCATGTAAAAAAAAAGCAATTTGTTCAAGTTGGACTACCAAAGTTACTTATGCTTTTATTATGTAATACATTTGCTCTAAACACTCCTCTAGACCAACTGTGCACTTCTTGATTCAAATTGCTTCAGTTCTAACAGTAAGTGATGAGTGGAAACACAGTTTAGATGCATGCCTTGTAAAAAAGGTTTGCATAAAATCCTTAATCGTAATATTGGTAACCATACCTCCAAATAACTTAACTCCATACTATGTTAGAAAGCTTGTTCCTATGAGACTGTTTACCATTTCTTTAAGTGACTGGTAAGAAAAGTCTTAATTATCCAACCATATAGAAGAAAGAGACACTTGCACCCATACATCAGTCAAAGCATTTTTATAGATAAGTGTCATGCAGCTCCCCCATTCAACTACGAATGTATGAGTTACCTGTATCTATTTTTTCAAGTTTGTTGCTGCTGAGGTTGAGTAGCTTGAGTTCTTTGGACAGCAGGAATTGTTTAGGCCTGAGATGCTTGATGATGTTATTGGACATGTCTATCCCCACTAGATCCAATGGCATTTCTGGGGGCATACGATTCAGACCTGAAAAGGGAAAAAAAAGAGAGAAATGTTAAAGGAGAAAAGCTATGGATAAAAGAGTAAAAAGTCAAACGAAACTGCAACAAGATGCAAAGAAGAATTTACATTGATATTATGAATGGAACCAAAGCTCCCCGATGAAAGATTTACAGCTCTAAAGCAGATGCACAAAACGCATGAGTTTGGAACAGAGTCTGAACGCGGAGCTGGAAACTCAATCAGTCTGAATCTTATATGTTTTCAAGATGTTTTGTGGGTTGTGTGTGACATTTTTATGTATTCAAGATGGAACATGTACTACATTGCTTTACTCGTCTTTTCTTTAACATCGCAGCATAACATGCTTACGTTTATCTTCGAAAGCGTGCTATGTAGCAAATGTGGTAAATACTCTATCTTACATCCATTTTAGAATGGTAAAATATATCTTTAAGAGGGTATTTGCAAAAAAAAAAAAAAAAAAAAAACTGAACATGCTCTGATAATAAATGTCATTAGGTAAAGCTAACAGCACATGTGCATAATATAAACCCAAAAATGACATTTTAATGGTGTATGCATTGGTTTTATGTCTCCTGCAGACATCAAGCTTTATTCACTTGTCAGGGGGAAATGAAACATGAATAGAGTTATCACATGAAGAAACCTGCTCTGCACCAATAGAGATGTTTAAAACAAAGTATGTGGCCAGAATAACTTTTTTTTTCTTAATTTATCTCCAAAGCAAAGTGGTTGCAAATGAGATAAAGCATATAGTGGAATGCAAATGCATTGTGCATTAACTCATTGTTAACCAACTGGGGTAAAAAAAGTTATTGATATGGGATAGTTCAACACAAATTAGAGCATAACTTTAGTAGAAATGAAAATGGTGCATATATACAGTATTTATATTGTGGGATGTGTGGCATTTTATTAATCTTGAATTATTGCTGTATTTTCATAGAAAGTCCTTTGATTTTAAGATTTTGACTTAGAGTTGCTCATTGGAACACAGATTGTGCTTAAAATGTAGTGTTTGTTCTGTGGGAAAGTGAATATGTGAAAAAAGGCTTCCTGAAGCATGATTCTGCCCACACTATTCTATTTTTGAAGACCATGGGATCATTTTGGATGAGCACTGCTTTAGGTCATCTTCTAATGCTGCAAAATGTGAAAAAGGTTCAACGGGTATGATTTCTTGTTCAGGTCTAGTTTGTGCTTTTATAGTTACATTTTGATCTACTTTTATTTGAAAAGAAATATTAGAATCTTTACTGTATGATGTAATTTGTGTGGATTTCCTTGGTGCATGAACTTACACTGAATTTATACTCTGCTAAAGGGAATACTTATGGACTTTTCAATGGAGCAGATGTTACAGTATTCATCTATTCTTTATTACAACAGATGTTGCAGCCTGTTATCTTAAACCCCGGTTGCAATCAGTCACTTCTTGTTTAAAGGGGAAGAATCACATACACAAAGCAGTCACCCATATCTTTAGCACAAGGAACCCTGCAGTCAGGAAATATACTTGTTATATTTCACTGATGCTGATAAATGTTCTGCAGGCAGACATATGGAAAAGGATGGGAACATACTTTGAAGACTGTGGTTTCATGTTGCAAGTTATCGGTCCAGCTCAGAGAGAATACTTCCCCTTAGAGATCCAATGAGAATCCCAGCTTCCCTTTAGGTGAACATGTTTCCCGAGCTTTGTCTTGACTAAAAAAAAAAAAAAAACTTGGCATTCAGTTCCAACCTTCATTCCCAGGCTCTTTTCACAGACTTTAACCTTGAGCCAAAATCTACATTTTTCTCTCTCACACTGATACATCTGTGATCCCGTGGGTTCTGGAATAATCTTCAACATGCAGCATTAAAAGAGAGAACAAATCTAAAGTTTTATCTTGCAATACTTACAACTATCTAACTCCTAATCTATAATCCAGCAGATGTTTTGGTTTAAAAGTGTTAAGCTCAACATTTTCTACATCTGTTACAATCATCCCCCATGCGAGTCAAATTCGATACTGAATAACCACATGACAGGAGAAGAGAGATAACATGTCAGGAGAATTAAAAATGTTAGTCATTCATAGCCAGGCCTGGACTCTGCATTTACCAGATCTGTTAAAACCATTACTCAGCAATGCATCTGCTCCATTTCTTTCTTTTTTTTCCCAAAAAGAAAAAAAAGGGTCTTCTTGTTTTAAAAAAGTCAGCTTTTTTCAATGAAAGTAATTGTTTGAGAATGAAAAAACTAATATGTACATTTGGTTTGTTTAATTTTAATTTCAAGAATATTTTTTCAATGTAAGCACTTCCTTGAACACACACGATTGGAAATACCTAATTTCAGCAAAGTGCTGCTGCATAAATGTGGCATTTCCATTGTGGACATAACATGTTACACGCAAAAAGTATAATATCGGAATATATTCAGGGCTGTTCCCATGTATTAATACCCATTAAAATCTCTCACCTTTCCCTCAAAAACCTGAATCAGAATCAGAACTAAAGGGAAACTAAACTTCAGTGCACCTCATTGGTATTTCCTACAAAGAATACCCTTAAACATGGAATAATTTTGCACCGCAAGAAAATAAAAACATGTATTATCAAAACTTGTTAATAAAAGAAAAAGGATAAAAATAATCTACACATAAATCTCTCCTATCCCAGATAAAGATAGCATCCCCAAAGAAAGATTTTTCACCACAGAGGGCATAGCGTGTGTCTTTTCTTATGTTAAATGTTGTTTGTGTTAGGAATCCAGTTTGTGTGGGTTGTTTGTGTGTTTTTCTCTCTCCACAACCAGGTGGTGCCCTGTTCCTCGTTGGGCCTCCCTGCACACCTGCGGCTCATTGGATCATTACTGGAGGAGTACTTGTGCAGTGGGCTGTCACTATCTTGACACTAGAGTGTTTGCCAGTTTTGGGTACCCTAGCCAAGCTGAGATTAGCAGAGTCTAACCTAAGCTTTGTTTCTCTGAGTTTTATCTAGTTTTTGTCTTTGCTCTTGGGCAGGAAGCCTTCCTGAGTAACTGGATACCTGGACCTTCTCCCCCTGGAAGGATTAACTGAGTACAGACTGAGCAGGGGAAAACCTTCACATGATCCGTTCAAGTCCTCTTCGGAAATCCAAGTGACAGTCCGCTCCTTTACTCCTCTGGGTCCAACTCTTGTCTATCTGTTCGCCCTCCAACGAGTTTCCTCTTCTCTGGATTAACCCCCACAAGCTGGATTCAAGGAATGACAAGAGCTCCCTCAAATGTGAGTCCCTCTCCAGTAATATTCAAGCCTCAGTCAAATTTCCTACGGTCCCTGAACTGATCACTGTGATCTCCCCTTCAGACTGTCTAGTTCCGGTTCACCAGTCCACTGTGTTCCAGATCCAACGTCTGTTATTCTTCTACATTTAATAAACCTGTTAAACTTTTTCCCTTGCTCTCTGAGTGGTTCTCTGCATGTGGGTCAGATCGCTTAAACCAATCATGACAGTTTGCTACCACACGCAACGTTTTAACCCACAAGCTTTAGTTATGTTTTCATCTGATAATTTTATTATATGCAACTCCATTAATGTAACTTCTGTGATCTATCAGACACACTCAATTTTATTTAGGTTTTATCACAGTAAAGTTTATTACAAATGCGGTTCATACTTGTAAAAGACAACGTATAAAAACATAACGCACTGCCTTGTGTTCAAGTATCCCAAACTAAAATTTATGCTGAAAAAGAATACCAAGAGCTACTTGCAAGGTTCAACAGTGGAGGAAAACTGTGTGTTCACATGTCAAAGGAATGGGCTGACACCTGGTATGATTTACAGGCTCATATGGAGGAAAGTGAAACATCCCTCCTCTTATACATAATGAGTGTTATACATGGTTTTATTATTGTATTCCAAAAATGACAAAACACAAAGGAAGTGGCAGGTTTTGTTACATCTTACCATACTTTCCAGCCTGAAAAAAAGTAGTTTTTTGTTGTTGTTGTTTTTTTTTTTTGCATGTAAACCTTGAGGGTTCATCAACCTACCTGTAACTGGAATTCTGTAGTTTCTATAGAGGAATGTTGATCTAAATTATCAATCTAACTCTGCCCCCAGACAGATTCGGAGCAATTCCACCAAAGTGGTCCTTGCTAATGTTTGTGGCACAGGGTGGGAATGAGTCGGGGGGATGTAAGGAGAGATGGGGGTTAGCTAGGATGTATTTAGGCCTTAGGGAGCCCAGTGGCTCAAAGACAAAGTTTGAGCAGCTTGCCTTTTGGCAATGACTCAGCTTTTTCCAAAGACAATGCTGCCAACACTCACTACAGAGCCATAGATATGAATGAGTTACTTTTTGTTAAAGTGAAAAATGCCTTTAACTGTGAACATTTAGACGTACCATTTGAATCAATGGGAAAATCCGTTGCAGTTGCCCCCGTTTGACCACTTTGACAGTAGCTAAGCAGTTTAAGGCACATTTTGCATTAATGTAATCTAATGTAGGGTAACATTGAAGTAGCACCCCACAGACCCAGGCTCAATCAGAATACAGCAAATCTGAAGGACCCTTACTAAGGCAGTGAGGAGGGGTTTGATGCTTTCTATCCACAGTTAAGATTAGGTGGCTTGCAATGTTCCTATCTCCCGCTTTAGGAGCTGAGCTATATGTTTGCTTACAATCCTTAGTGTGACAGGACATATAAGAACAGCTCAGTATTTCTTTGGGTGTAATCTCTGTGATTCATGCAAATGTATGCACCTGCTTTAGTTTTATAATGGAGATTTAGTTCACTACTTTTGTTTAACTTGTGTTTTTGGTTCTTGTTTGGCAGACTGTTTTCCAAATTTGATAATCTTCATCCATGTGCATTTCTATAGCATAAGGATGTCCGGAAGGCTGAAGACTGTGCAGATTCAGCACAGCAGTCTGTACTGTCTTTCTTTACCATTATAGTTTTCTTACTGTTGATCGCACAGAAATTGAAGGAGTAGGATCTAGGAATAGCAGCCAAGAGCTAAAATTAACTATTTCTACTCATAATTAAGGGTCAAAGGCAAAGTTTCATATAACTTGAGTTGATACTCTAAAACTTGGCTTAATCTTTAGGATGCATAAATAATACCAGCATAACCTCTCTCTGAAAACTTTCAGCGTTATCTTCAAAACTTGTCTTCTAACCATTAAAGGGGCTTAGAGACATACTATTCATACTATGCATCATACCCTGTTGGCTTTTTATATTTTATTATGGTGATTTACAGTTTGCTTTTGCTCTGTTTGTTAGTAAACAAAGAAATAAAGTTCCTTTATGTTTATTTATCATACAACATAACAAGACAGTATGATGGGAATTTGATATTTGACATGCAAACAATTCAAAGCAGTGGAAAGTTAAATTAAGTTAATGGAAAATTTGAAGCAATGGAGCCGAGAAATTCAAAAGAAGAAAAAAGATAAAATGTAATAAGCACAAAAAATTTTAGATGCCAAGAGGGATAAGACACTAGTAGCACTCAGAATACAACATGAAGATTTGTGTTGATTGAAGTGGGAGCATAAGTACACAGCCTTAATAAAACTAATAATATAAGTAATGCCATTCTCAGGTTATAAGTTTTAAAGTTATAAGTTTATATGTAGGTGTAAACATAGCCACTTTTCAAGGTTAGATGAAAACAACAATGTTTAAATCTGATACATGGTGCAAACAGTTTTTTTAGCCTCAGAAAGCCCATATGAACAGTATCAGGCCAAACCTCCGAGTAGATGATTTTATTTGCAGAACGCAATTGCAATCGCAAATTATGCGATGGGGCCAGTCTTAATATTGAAACTGGTGATACTGTAGAAATTAAAAACCAAAACCTACAACTTCACAAAGTCTTCAACAGAGACAAAAAAAAGTAAGGCAATATATTTAGGTTTTATAATATTATCACATTGTTCCTCCAAGTTCTTTCCATGAGAAACTTTGCCTTAAATGCCCCCCGTTATTTACTGTAACCACAGAGTTTTAGTCTCCAGTGAGAACCGTGTTCAAATGAACTGTGGTGTACCTCAAAGGAACAGCCTCCAAACCAGGAGGGAGAAACAGGAAGAAAGAAATTGAAGATATGCATCCCTTTGCCTCTCCTTTTTTTTTTTTTTTTTCTTTAATTAATTCCTGGCTTCTTTACATGCAAACATCTAAACTCTTCAAAGCAAACTGGTTTTGTTAACTTTTCCATGAGCCAAATACAAGATTCAAGTGATACAATTAAAATTGATCAAGCTACCTCTTTAAACACTAAACATATTCATCATTGCAATACTGTAGTTTGAGGTGTTTCAATAAAATGTTGAACCAGTTTTTTGAGAGCAGTAGAAAGTAGCAGTGAGCCCCCTCCACCACTTGTTGCTGTACACTGTTGATCAAATTCATGAAAGACCACTGATGTAAAAACAGACACTTATGTTGTGGAAATTAGTAACTGCATCATTACAGAAGCAATCGGCATTCAGTTCCATCTGAAAAAGACAAAGGCAGCAAAATTTATGCCTGAGGCATTGACTAGTTAAATTAGATTGAGATGTTGCAAATTCCTCCACATGGTCTCATGCTGCTTTTTTACAACCCTCACATGATGTTTTGGAAAATACTTTATAATTAAGTGAAACTACTTACCTCATTTAAAGAACATTTTTAGTTGTATTATATTGTTGCATGCTAAAGTCAAAGTTTAGGTGAGATATTAGAAAAGAAAAGCAAGTTGAGATGTATGGATATAACTGACCTCTATCTGAGCTTCCTTAATGATAGGGCCATTTAAAAAAGGATTGGAGAACAAATTGATAAAAATACATCTCTCTAGAACAAAAGAAAAGTAAGCAATGAATGTAGTGTATTAAGGAAAACTGGCATACATTTCTGTTTTAAAATATGTGGGTTAAAAATAAAATAGGATACAGCACTATTACCGGGAGAAAGAAAGAACGAGGTGGGGGTAATAGATGGTATAATGATACAGTGAGGAAACAGAGGACCCTTGCAGTAGTTAAGATAAAGAAGTGATTCAGAAATCTCATGGTGGAGAAAAAAAAAATTAATCAGGAAAGTATGTGAAAAGCTTCCCCAAGCGTGCACACAACACAGATGGTGCATTGTGTGGTTTTGGCCCGAGAAGATCTCTCCCTGAAGGGTATAAGCTCCTCTTTTATGGATAAATATGGAACCACAGACAGGGAAATCTCCTTTGAACGTAATGATTTATGAAAAACAAAAGGAAATACATCTGCACTGGTTCAGAAATGATCTCACCCCCTTTAGTTACGATTATTGTCGTTTAATTTTTTACTTTTTTTTTTAAATTAATTTGCACTCATCTAAATTCAGAAAACATGTTAAAATGATGCTAAATGCTAGAAGCTTTGTTTTGAATAAGTTTTAGTATTCTGGGAAAACTATGACATCATAACATACAGGTACTTTGAGGAGGCACATTGCTGAGCTTTTTCGCTTTAAGTCAATTTTATACCTTGACATACTTGGCTTCTTACTGTGGGTTTCTATTAGGTACTGGTTCATGGTACCAGCTTTTCATCAAGCTGAAAAGGTGATTTCCAAAGACCACTATTCCTTAATTGGTCAGACGTTTGCATCACTGGTTAACTCATAAGTGAGCAGTGACTTTATTATCAGCTGGGTTAATTGGGGGTATGATTGCCTCCTATAGGCCTTGTGTAACAGAATATTTAGAAAGTAAATAAAAACACATTATATAATATCATAAGAGTTTTCTCGCACTTTTCACACCTGCAGCTTGATTTAAGGATACAGTAAAAAGAAGGACTATATAGTATGATGTGACAGAAACTTTGTTTTAGGTTTAAGATCCTGTTTTCATAGTCAATACCGACAAAGTTCACAAGTGCTTTGGTGTTTTAAGAATTATTATGCAATAAATAAGTGTATTATACAAAGATTATGCTCCCTGTGTTGTGTTAGAAAACCCTGAAACATGTAATGAAGACCATGGATCCAGCCGTGTTTTAATGATTATTTTGTGAAACGTCTGGCATGGTTATTGTGTTTCTCTGGATTCTGATTTTGAATTGTTTTTTGTTTTTATTGGTTTGCGATAAGTTCTTTTTTCTTTTGACTTATTAAACTAATTGAAATTAAAGTATTTATTATCTTTCATATTCTGTTGGCAAATAAATCAATTATTACATAACTGGTGTGTACTGGCATTAAGAAAATAAGGTTTTGTTCCTTTGTTTGTAACGTTTGCTGTGACATCACTGCTGCCTTTTTAATAACCTGAACAACTGGTAATTAAAGTTCAATGCTTTATACACAGTTTACAAATCTCCTATCTTCCTGATAGGAAGCAACTACTCTACTTTTTCTGTGTAACAAAGGTCCCACTTTATCAGTGTAGACAGAGTGCTGCATAGTGTGCCATGAGATAAGCAAAGTTGTTAATTTAGGGCCATTTCTGCAAGATTTATACAATATTTAAATAAATATTTAAATTATGTGATAAATAAATGCAGTTTCTCAACGTTTCCCATGTACAAGATTAATCACTCTTAGTCTGGCTTACTGTCACTTGCGAAACACATGGCAGTAATATGAAAAATATATATCAAAAATGTCTGTTTAGTATGTTTTTATGTTCCCCAGAAATATTTGTGAACAGGTCTGTATTTTTGCTGCCACTGCATTAGAGTTGGATAAACAAATAAGCAAATGTCAGCTCCTTAAAAGTACTCACAGGAAAAGTTTGAAAGGAGTATTTTTGTAGGAATAAGCACAGCTGATGCAACATTTAAAGACAGTCTCTACAAAGAGGTTACATCAGGCTTAATGCTGTTATACATTTACTTCTCCAACATCTGCTGCTATGAGCGAGGGAGATTTTAAGAGCACAGAGATTAAATCAATCCACAGCCAGCTCCTTCTTCCCAGGGCGACTTGCACACCGCAAATATAAAACTTTATATAAAACAAACACATCTCTACTGTCTGGATGTAGCCAGCATAGAATATTGTGAATTTGGTTTATGAACTCAATTTTACGGGACAAAAAAGCATGACTACTGTTTGCTGATTGTGTGTTTCTCTTGTAGCTTTAGAATCGCTGAGCTTTATCTTTTTCTGTTTTTGTTTAAACATTCAAGAAGTGACCAAATTTTTTACACCAGGTTTGTTTGATTAGATTCATGCATGACAAAAATATTATTACCTTTGGCTGCAGTGTCTGTGTACACAAAGTAACATAGACAAAAAGATTTTCTCTCACCTTTGTGTCTGCAGTTCAGGAGGGGTCCGGGATATTTGAGATTGCAAATGGACACAGCATCTGACTTTTCTATTACAGGCCCAGGTTCTGGCCCCTCCAAAACCTCTGACCTGTTGTCTTTGGCACACAGCAATTCTGCTTCTAGCTCTTTAAGCTTTTTGCCCTTCATAGAACGCGGCTCAGCGCACTTGGCATAGTTGCCTAAGTTGCGATTACTGGGCACCTGCAGGGTCCTGACAAGGGTTTCCAGTGGGCAGCGGCAGCTCCAGGGGTTGTCAAAAATGCGGAGGTAGGAGAGGCTGCGTAAGGGCAGGAGGAATTCCTCGGAGGCTGTTCTGATGCGGTTATGTTGAAGGAGAAGTGTGGTGAGCTGATCGAGGCCACTGAACGCATTATCCTCTATCACTGAAATAGCATTTTGCTGAAGATCCAGGCTCTTCAACTTGGTGAACTGTTCAAACATGTTATTCCTTAAAACCTGAGGGTAGAAATACCAATAATAGGTTAAAAAAGAAACACCAAAGCAAAACATACTAAAACCAAAATAAAAATAAGACAGAGTGAAAAATTACAGGTAGAAAAATGCATAGTTCGGCAACAAGAGGAAGCAAAATAGGTTTCCCTTGAAACTTCACATAGCAACCCCATCTCTACTTTACCAAACCTATCAGAGTCCTGAATTATGTCAATTAAATCATTTTCCAGCCATTTATATCTTAGATTTTTAACTAGTAATAACTACAAAAATCTATAGATATTACATACTGTACTTTTTACTAGTTATACTAATATTATTGGGCTATTTCCAATCATAAAGATCTGATTTCTCACCAACAACCATCATTGAATAAATTATTTCCATTGCAAGCAAGAGTCTGCTGGGTCAACGGATGTTTCAGAAGCTGATGAAGATGACCTTTTATGATCAGTTTGTGGCTTGGCAGCACCATATTCGTGCGAAATATCTACTGTTAACTGGCTCTGAAGTAAAACAAACTAGTAATTTAAGAATCACCCAATTAAGAACATAATATGTTCAAAAAGAAAAGAGAAAACAATACAAATTGCAAACCCAGTTGCCTGTAGCATCCAAACAACCTTCCTAACTGTAGAGGGTATAACAGGAGTCTTCTAAGGCAGCAGAGAAACAACTTTACCTTTAAAAAAAAAATTGCAATTAATCTACAAAATCTACCAAATTCTTCCAATTTTATTAAAAAAAAGACCTTCTATGCTCTGTTGTGGCATCAGGCATCTTCTATGGAGCTGTCTGTTGGAGCAGTGTGGTATCCTTAGCTGAGAGAAATCTGATCTGGAAGGCCAGCTCTGTGATTGGATGCCCTCCAGACTCAGTGCAGAAGGTGAACAAAGAGATCCTAACTTAAATAACATCTCTGTCGATAATGTCTCCTGACCCATGCATGAAGCTGTTGCAGAACTGGAAAGCTCCTTCAGTGATGAACTGCTGCACCCTAAATGCACCAGGGAGCGTTATCACACATCCTTCCTCCTAGCAGATGTTAGACTTTATAACCATCACTGTTCCCAACAATCTTAATAAGTTGTTACATTAATGCTGATCTTTGCACAGTTTCTGTCTTAGTCAGTTAAATAACATGTGTTGAGAAAACAAATTTTAAATAAGCTAGTTTTAAAACTTATTATGTCTTGACTCGAATGGCCTAAATTGTGGTTTTAAATCAGTGACTTATTCTGGCCTGTTGTCCTTTGTTTTGCCTGTGGCTGCAGCGGATGGTTTGCTAGGATCGTTTAAACTGCCTTTTGTCTGTGTCGTAAAACAATACAGTGGAAGTTCTGGCTTTTCACACTCATCTGTGAGAGGCCGTAAACACTGCAGGGGTTTTAGGCTTCAGATAGGGGGTCAGAGATAGCTCCTGGTTGGAGGAGCAAAGGTACGCCTTATTTGAATAAATTAAATACAAGAGGATAAAACTTTCTGCACAGAAGTAACAAATCAGATTTGCTCTTGCAACTCTCCAAAGATGTCTTTGTATGTCTTTGCTTTCTTTCCTTCTCTCCATTTATGTCATGTAAATGAATGTATGTCTCCGTTGTTCTGCAGTTTCTGGTGTAAGTTTGTGCATTGTCTTACTTCTAAGTTTATGCATTGTCTTATATTGGATTAAACTCTGTATTTCTGTGACGTCAACACGCATTGTTGGTTTCCTTGTGGCCACACAGCTCGCTGGGAGGGCCTGGGATCAGAGGAAGAGAGAAAGCCAAACTTTTTCCAAAGTTAACTATTTTAGAATATTTTCTTCCTTAACACATGCTACTGTCATTTTATTATTTATTTTTTTTTGCACATCCCTAGTGTTGCTGCTTTTTTCACATATCCCTTACTTTAAAAGTGTCCAAAGCAGTTTTTACTCTTTAGATACAGTATTTATGGTGTAAAACACTGTACTATACTCTATTTGCTTTATTTTACTATGATTTACTATTACTAGTTATTATGATTTTCTATTCTATTCTATTCTAAATAAACTCAACAGTTGATGGTAAGAGCAGTACTGTATTGCTGTTTTTTTTACAGACGATAATTCTTTTTACATTAATACTTTTTTATACTTCAAATGGAATTCATTGTATTCCATTAAATTTTCTTCTCTTTTTATGCTTTTATTTTCTTTCTTGTTTCTCTTTTATAGAATTTCACACATCAGTATAAGTAACTAATTACCAATACTTTACTCAATATCCCTGATTAAAAAATTTGATTGTTATCATCATGACATGTATTTAGTATCACCCGATGCTATGCAAAATAGGAAAATGTAGACCTTATTAGAAAAGTATTTCATCTCTCCACTTCAATTATAATACCTATTCTAGACATAAATACTATCTGTCATGTCTTTAATTATTAACCATGTGGCAAAGCTTTTTTTTTTCACCACGTGTGACACACAAATTCCACACAAAAGCTCACATACTGAATGTTTTTGATCTGAGCTTAAAATGAGTGGTGCACAGATGGCAATGGTATCAACAAGCAAAGCAGGTTTAATTCATTATAAAAAAAATACAACCAAATCAGACAAAACCTGTGCGGTTTGCTCCACAGAACTGCAATAAAAGTTTACTTCAATTCCTCATCAAGTTTTATTATCCGAATATAACTGAAAAGCTTGTCTGCTTTTCTTTTTGTTTTCCTTCAAGCTGATTTTGTTGATGTTTCTTTTGAGTAACGTAGTATTGTGAGTTTAATTATGCTTTAACTGAAATAGAAACTGGTTCCTTTCATTGGATTCCCCAGTGATCATGGTTGGGTATTCTTTAAAGATTTTAAGTTTTATTCTTAAGTTTGTGTTATCCTGCTTGTGTAAACATAATCTGGTCAGTTTTTTTTAATAATCAGAATCCGCTTTATTAGTACAGATTCTGTGTACAAAAAAGGAATATAACTTTTGTGTACCATCCTTCCCATTGAAATAAACAATCTAATGAAAATGCCTGGTGGGAGAAAAAAAGCCAACAATGTGCTTGTTTTTCTATGAGCACTCTTTAGCTGTTTAAACAACTTTAAGACCAGGATGTGTGGGGTCAGCAAAGATGTATGTAGCCATGTTTCCATCTAACTGAAATGTAAATTTTGAGCAAACTGTTTTAAAAGTTTAAAAAAGAAAAAGCACATTTTCAGCATGTCCTTTAGGTTTGAAGTGAAATAACCAAGAGACGCATCAACATTACATCAACACTCATAGCTGTAATAAACAGGAAGTACACTGCAAAAACGATTTCAAAATGAGTAAAAATGTCTTAAATTAAGGGTATTTACCCTTAATTAGAGCAGGTAAATAAGAGGATTTGCCAATGGAATTAGTATTTTTACTCTTAAAATAAGGTATCTGGATATTATGCACTTAAAATAAGACAATGCAGTTGTTTTTTTCTTATTTTAAGTGTAAATTGTCTTGTTCCATTGGCAAAGTGTTTCACTTAAATCCTTAATTCAAGAAAAAATGCACTTATTTTAAGAAAAAATGACTCAGTGTATCTCTTCTAATTACTTTTTTTGCAGTGTAGAAGCTGCAATCTTACACTGACCACAGATTAGTAATGGTGGTCATTTTTAATGAATGTGTTGCTAATGTACAAGTTTGTCTTATGTTAACATGTCAGCTAACAATGGCAGTGTTGCTTCTAGCCAAGTGACATGCACAATAGGAACATCAGTGAAGACACCCACAGCAAAAACAGCTGCTTAGGCATGTGAGCTAAAAAGTTTGCTGCGTCAGTATTTCTGTCTCCAATTTTGTGCAATAACCATTTTTTGCAAAAGCCATAAACCACCTCAAGTGAGCTTATAACCTTTCATGACTTTAAGTTATTGTTTTTTCAAATTTGTACATTTTCATCATGCGATACTTGAAAATGCAAATTATTAAAAGCTGTTGGAAATGCCATAGACTTGTACAGGGTGTAAAATAAGGGCTGGTCAAACCCAATTATCCTTTCCAGGCTCCACAGATTTGTTTGTTGAACAAACCTTAAAAAATGCACAGTAAATTGTTCACAATTGAGGATGTAATCTGACTACACATACCTGAATCTTATTTTTTGCCAGCAAAAGGTGCTGAATGTCTTTGGGCCAGTCTTGATTTACAAATGTCAGCTGCCTATCCTGGCAGTCAAGAAACTTTTCTCTCTTTTCTGTGTACTCCTTACATTCCTGAGTTTGACGCTTCATGAGGCTTGCCCTTCCTCTGCCTCGCACACGGCCCTTGGTGCCCCGTTGTGCGGCCTTATTTCGGCCGCCTTTCCGAGGTTCAGCTGACTGAAGGAGCAGCAGGATGATAATGATGGTGAGGAGACGCATGATTGGAAAGAACAGAAGCGTTCTCTGTAAGTGGGTTGATATACTGGAGATATTAGAGGGACACAGGATGCCGGTCAGAGCTGTAAGTATAAAGAAAGACACAATGAAGGAGAATGTTACTAGTAAGGTCAAACAGCATTATAAACATATTAGTTATGGTTGAATTAAAAAAACCTAAAAAAGGATTGGAAAATCAATTCATTTAAGTCAAAAGTTCTTTACAAAACACACAATTTTTTTTTTTACACAATAAAAAGATCAATTATTAGAGAAAAGAATTTTGATTTTGAATGTTGCTAACAGGAAGAAATGTAACTGTATTCTTGGGGGGTTTTTTGCCCATAGTTAAAGGAGACACCGATCACAACGGTCAACCTTTGAAATAAAAAAAAGAAGAAAACAGGTAAACTTTCTGGATGAAAATGCATAATTTATCTCCTAACATAGAATTTTTTAACAATTGTTTTTCTTATTTAGGAAACCAAACCAAGATGGTTTTATATACCATACTTCTAGATCTTTATTTTCTGTTTTCTTTCAGATGTTATTCACCATACGTTTGCAATATGTCTGTAAGCAATATGCAGAAACCGGAAAAAATATGTTTTTCTTTTGGTCCAGTTGCATAATTTCAGGCAGAATAAATAAGCACTTCTCCATTAGGACGTTATGGAGATACAGTATCTTCTCTTTTCTCCTACTTACACATTATCATCATTCTTATTAAGCCTGAGTGACCCTTTCAAGGGGGCTGCAGCTCTTTTGCAAGAACAATAAGCTTGTAGTTCATCATCTCTGAGCTTTACACACACTTATCATATGACTAAATCTTCACCTGAGATTCCTCTACAAGACTATCTATTTCATTCTAATATCCACAAACCACGGCTTCAACACCATGCCAAAATGCGCTCAGATAGCCAAAATACAATTTATGACTCAGTTCATGTTTCATTAAATTTCATTTCTACCTAAATTTGTGTATGTAGTGTGTATTACACTGTGTAAATAAAGAGTGTTGAAATTTTTTTTTTTTTTATATTTCAACCCAAACAAACTCACACAGAGAACTGAACATATTTTCCATGGCTGTTACTCTAGTTGTTTATGGTTATATTTTTTGAATTCTTGTGTATTTCTTGTTTACCCTCTTTTGCCCCCTTGTGTCAGTCTCCTTCCCTTCGCTCCCTTCTAGTTGCTTCCGTCCACACCTGCTCCCTGACAGCTCATTAGCCCAGTCTTTGTTCTGTCTCCCATTTATACTCTCCCTGTGCAGTTCCTCAGTGCTGGTACCTTGTCATTTCTTGATCCTTGTGTGTTTTACCTGATATTTTCTAGTGTTTTGTTTTCTGTATATGGTTATTTGGGGATTTTTGCCCCAGTTGCTACTTTTTGAATTATTAAACCTCTGCCTCCCTCATCTCTGCATTTGGGTCCTCCTGCCCTGAGCTTACAATATTGAAATTAATTTGTCTGCAAAAGGACATTTCGATAAATAAATGTATTCACATGGTGACTATAATCTGGTCAGACGATTAGGATCATTTAGATATCTTTTTACATACTAAGTTTGAAGACAAAATAATGCTGCATATCATTCCAGAAAACATCACGCCAACAATGAAGTTTGAACTTAAGAGCATCATGAAATTTCAAGGAAACTCTCAGATGGTTTTAGAGAATTATAAATAAAACAGTCCCAAAAATCTTCATGATTAGCAGACAAAGTGGCAAATATAAGTCAAACTTATATTTGAGCGCTGCCACTGAAATGTTTTGTATTATCTTTAAAAAGCCTTTTGGAAGAGGTACCGACTATAATATAACAAGTGTTGACATTCCTTATTGTACTACATCAGATTGACCAAATTACTTAATTTTGTAGTAAAAACATGTGACTACATGCCATGACAGTATTGAATATATATATATATATATATATATATATATATATATATATATATATATATATATATATATATATATATATATATATATATATAT